TTTTATATATTATTGAAAAGGATTAAAAAAGCAATAGAATTCAAGAAGCAAAATATTATAGTAAAAAAAAATATTGCTATGATTAAGAAAATGATTAGGGCTTGAAAGGGACATGGTTTCTACTCCAACTTTATTTGTGGGTTTTTTCCACCATGGGCGTTTCTTGATAAGTTAATATTTAAATGACTTAGGCTCCATTTTGAACCATGGTGAGAGCATTTTAATCGAGTTAAAAGATACATCATATGATTAAATTTTAATCAAAATATATAATTAAATTTTGGTGGTCATAATGGGATTTAATTATGAAATTCCAAGAGGTCCAATTTCATTCTAATACATGCACTAATAATTATTTAACAATTCTTTAAAAATCCTAGAATCTAGTCATTTTAATGGAGGAATATCACAAATCTTCTAGCCTCTAGGTTGAAAAGCCAAATTAAAGCTTCTAGTGGAACTAAAAAACCCCAATGCTTGTTATATGCTAAATCTTTCCCAACCCCACTGTATATACAAAAATTTAATCCCTAGCCTTTGCCTTTGGACCCCTTTTTCTTCTTTACTTTTTTTTTTTTTTTGGGTGAAAGTTTGGAAGGGGAATAATTTGAATCAAGAATCTCTTTTCTTAAAAGGGAGGTTTGGCACTAGATTTAGTTAATTATTCCTCTTTTTTGACAAATTTTAATCTAATATATTTATATATGGATATTAGATAAAGTAATCATAATAGTCATGAGTTGATTTTACACCTCCCCCAAAGTAAAGATGTGTGTATATTCTTACAATAAAAGTTAACTCTATAATTTTACCAGACAAGAGGTTTAGGGAAAAAAAATATTAGTAATGTTAATGAATGATGTCTAGTTTCAAAATTTTACGTTTTTAGATCGTTATAAATTTTAATTTAATTAATTTATATAATTATTCTTAAAAAATAATATTTAACAGTAGAAGTGAATAATTGATCAATTCGGTCAGTTCAATTTGAAAAAATCGATAATTAATTTAATCAATTTTTATTTAACAAATAATCAAATTGATAAAATTTTTTAAAATAAACAATTATAACTGAATCGATCAAAATCGATTCGATTTGGTCGGTTTGATTAAATAAACAAAAAAATTTTTATTATATTTTTCTATTATGAATAATTATTTAATCATAAAATTAATTCAATAAAACTTAAATATCATTTAAACAAATCCCTAAAGAATTTAATAATTTTAACAATATTTTAAAAGAAAAAAATGCTTATCTCAATTTTTTTTACTTTTACTTATTAAAAAGTTGATTAATTCAATCAATTTGATTATCAATTTTAAAAATAAAAAATCGACTGAATTAACTAATTTAACCAATTTAAAAAATTAATTATAGCCAAAACCGAATACATTGAACCAAATCAACCGAAATCACTTAATTTCGATCAATTTAATTGATTAAATTGTCTTTTGCTCACTTCTATCTAATAAATCTGAAATTTAATTAAATCTCAATATTTTTAAATCTTTTTTTATTCTCAAATTACGATTTTTTTGTACCAAAAAATATTTTTTTTGGTGATTACTCCAGACTACAACTATAAAATCAGGATTAATATACATTCTAAAAAGGATCATTAGAAGGGTAGCAATTAACTATACCGACCCTTTTACTTATAGTAACAAACTCCATTTTTAAATGTTGTAAAGTTAATATAGTCTACTCTCATCTCATCTTATTGCATTATCGGAAGTGGGGAGAATTGCAAAATTTAAGAAATTAATTTTAGACGCACGTGTCGCTAGCTGGTACATGTGATACTTAAAAGGAAATGTAATACAAAAGTTTGGTTTATGTCTACGTGCATGGTTGCGTTTAAATCATGGCACCATTACACCTTAATGAAAGTAACATTAATGTAGGGTTTCATAATTGGACCAGCTAAGTTCCCCTAATCAAGGTTGGGAGAAAGACAAGCCATGTTTAATTACTGAAATGGGAAGTTTGCTGAGAGATGAAGAAAAAAAAATCGCAGTAATGTTTCTTTATTTGCGTGAGGCAATAGAGCTTTGGTAGTAAACCGGAAGTGGGAACCATGTGATTTTTTTATTTGCAATTTGATAAAAATATATAATGAATGATTTAAAGGCATATCCTCATCCTTGTAATGGAAAAAAAATAATGGTGGCCAAACCTCTAAGCCAGTTGGGAAGTTCCTGCCAAATGAACATTAATTGAGAGATCAACCCAACTCAATGTGGGTCAGGCAAATATTTACTGGTTTTTGTGCGTGATAATTTATTATGACGACGATGATGATTCTTTTTTATTTCAGATCTTCCTAGTGTATTTTTTTTTATGGATTGCTAGAAAATATAGTTGCAAAGGTAAGGATGGAATTTCAATCCGTACTCATTAAATTTTAATTTTATCTGATTTTATAAGATTAATTTTTTATTAATTGAGATTAGATTTTAGGTAATTTCATTGACCTGACTTGAGTATATAAAAAATATTTTTTATTATTAAATTAATTTTATATTTATATATTTATTTAATTATATATATTTAAAAATAATATTTTATTAATTTTATATTATATTAATTACGATTTTATATAATAATAAATCAAATTAAATTTAAATATTAAAAATATAAAATTAAGTTAGATTCAAAACGAACAAAAAAATTCGTCTCGATTCATTGTCATCTCTATGCAAAAAGTACTAAAATAGGACACATATAAAATCTTTTTACATTCATGTACGAAGCGGTTATTATTTTTATTATGGATATGCATGCATTATTGATACCCACCAGATGAAATTAACCCCACTTGTTTGGATTTTAAATTGTAAAATTAAATTTGTATATTTTAAGTTTTACAATTTATACCATGGGAAGATACCTGGACCCTTAATAATACACAATGGATTGAAAAGATCTAGGTTCCATGATTTGTCTTGAAAAAAAAAATTATTTTCTCTGATCTAATACTGAATTATTGATACCCACCTCATGAAATTATTGAGGTTTAGTCATAAGTTTATGCAATTTTTTTTTGGTAGGAATTAGGAAACTTTATGCAATTAATAGAACATTATATATCTATACAATCTTATATAATCATGAGTAATTATGCTTTTAATGAAGTCTTAAATTGTACTAGTTGGCTTCAATTATACATTTAGCATTTTTTGTATGTAGTATTACACAAAAAATTATAATTTAAAGATAAAAAAATAAATTGCATATGCTATGATTTGAATAAAAAAATTTTAAATGTCATATGATTTTAAAAATAATTATATAAATAAACTAAACTAAAGTCCGAATTCATAGCAAATCTAGTTCTCAAGCATATATTCCTGTGAACCTTTAAAGTTTTCTAATTTTAAATGCACTTTTGAACTGGCAACTGGCAAGTTGTTGGATTTTCCTGAACATCATTTAACCTATGAAAATTATCTTCAATAAAGCACTGCCAGTGTTTCAAGATAAGAAGCATCAACCTTTGCAACTTGGAAAATCATATAATTATTTTAATATATTTATTTATTTATTTATTTTTTGCCAAAATCTTTAACATTTAGGAGATGAGTAATTTCACAAACCCTACAAGGAGATAAATACAAGCTAAACATTATAAAAGTAGCAGAAAAAATTCAGGAAATGAATGAGAAATTTCACAAAGTTTGAATATTTTGATATGGTCTATTATGGGATGCTTAGATATGGATCAAGATTCCTAGAAAAAGAAATGTCAGCTCAAACTGGATTATCTTAATTGAAGAAATGGAAGGTTCCTCAAAAATACCACAAAGCTGACAACAATCTTTCTAACTAACCATGCATGAAAGGAAAAAATCAGAAACAAATTGTTTTTCTTGACTGGATGGACCCTATGAAAGGATGTAATCCCTCCTTGAGTTTAAATGAGATGGACCCTAAACTCATAATAATTTCCCTAATAATGCCACCACAAATGGTACATTTTCATGGTTTGATGGGATCCAATCATAGAAAAAAATTTGTAAATATCCATCTTATCACATATCTATTTATATATATTTAAAAGAAATCGTCTCCAATAATAAAAAAAATTATAATTATTAAAATTTAAACTTTAAATTTACTATATTAAATGTTATTTTTTAAAAATATTTTTATCAATTTAATATTTCGGAGCATCGATGAATCGAAATTGAGAAAAAGAACATGCTATTGTCAAATGTTCATAAAAGAAGTGCCTAACATGGTACTACTTTTCTAATTCTTGCAAAGGAGCCATCCCTATCCATTATAAGAATACAAACACTAATTTCATGTGAATAATTGAACCTAAAATAAATGTTCCTCTTTATCTTATCCATGGTTTAATACTACTCATTCATCAATCACCATCACCTCATTTTTCTTAAAAAAAATTTTGGCTTATGATGCTATAAAGATAAACTATTCATGCCACTTCCACTACGTTGGACTTTGCAGTTGGGCTTCTATGTAGGCCTTCTGCATTTAGAAAGCTCACTAGCTCATGATCAATGATTCTCTCAATCATTTCACAGAAATGATGTTATACAATATCAGTAAATTAAATAATAATAATATTTTATAAAAAATTAATTTTAAAATTTTAAAAATAAATATATTTATATTTGATGTAGTGTTAAAGTGTAAATACTATATAACATTTACTGACAAACATCAAACATAAATTTAAAATATATTTAAAATAAAATTTTTTTGAAATGTTATTATATAATTCGTAATGCTGCAAAAGTAAAATTCTTATGATGTATCAGAAAAATTACTACTAGTTGAGAGAAAAAAAAAATGGTGAATAGAAAATGGTTCCTTAGTAATTGTTCAAGTATTCAAGGGCAATTTAATCACCTCCAAAAAACCCTTCCCTGTATGAAAAATAATCTGACAATTTCTCTCTCTCCGGACACTTTTTCTTAGCTCATATTTTTTTTTTCACTGATGTATAAAAAAAGACAGCCCATAAAAAAAACGACGGTTGCGTGTTCATTGGTTGGAGGAGCAAAACAACAGTAGAAAGAGAGAAAGAAAAGCAAACGGCAAAGGTAAAGAGCAGTGAATGGTACAAAGTAGTAAGCAGCAGGGAACTCTCTCCTTCTCTCTCCCACTAGTCAGCACTCAGCATCAGACCACCATGATTTCCATTACTGGAAACAAAAAGAGCCCCAGCCCTTAAAAACCAGTACCTTAAAAACCAGTAGAGATTTCTAAATCTTTAAAATCCTCAACCATAGATATAATAAAACATATATTCTTCTGCAAAATATCTATAAATACCCAACACCTCTTTTGAACACAGTTGGACTGCACAAAGTAGAGAGAGAAAGCTTTGAGAGAAGAAAACCCATCTGCATGAGTAATAATAATAGTACTATATGGTTCTTATAGCTTGTACACTTTGAATCATTTTTTTTTGGGTTTGTGAGTGAGAACAAAGATCTGGGTTTTCTTTGTTAAAAAAGAAACTTATTGATGAGAGGTTTGAAAAATCGTTATCTTTCAAGCTGAGATCTGTTGGGTATTTCTTGCTTGCTGGAGTTAGTGGTTACTAGCTTCAAGGAACTCAAAAGAAAAAGCTGGTGTTTTTGTTCACACTTTAAGGATCAATAGTCTTTGTTTTTGGGAGGTGAAATGTGGGGCTAAAGTGTTGGAACATAACACAAAAAAGATTATGTTGTTGTTTTAGCATTAAGGTTGTGGTTCAAGAGAAGAACACTTGGGGGTTTTTGGGTGGAGAAGAAGAAGATAGGAGGCGGATGAGGCTGAAAGCAATTGTCTTTTGTAGTAAAACCGGTTTCGGTTGAAACAAAAAAAGGCAAGAACTCTTGGGGTTGGGGCTTTTTGTTTTTGTGTTGTTTTTAAAATCTCTTCTTTGACGGGTGAATTGTCAGCTTTTTTTTTTTCTCAATTGGAGCTGGTTCTTGTTAAGGCATGGTGTTTCTTGTGGAGAGAAAGGAGTAAAAAGAAGGGTATTTGATTGTGCGTGTCCTTGTTTGGAGGATTTAGGTGCTTAATTGGTGTGGTTAAAGGAAGGGTTTTTGGGGTGGGGAATCTTTTTCTTGAGGGTCTAAACTTGGGACTTAAAGGTATTGTTAAATTTATTCAGAAAAAAAAAATGAAGCTTTCTTCAGCTGGTTTCAATCCCCAAACTCAGGAAGGTATGCTTCTTTGTTGCTGTTTCTCTCCTTTTTGCCTCCTCATTTTTCTAAGGATTAGATTGAGTTTCTTGGGAGAGTTGAAGGGGGATAAAACGTGGTTGTAGAATTTTGGATGTCTATTGGCTTTGTTTGTGGCTTGAGAAAATGTAGGAAAAGCTGAAACCTTAAAATGTTAAACCCCAGATCACTAACTCCAGTTTATTTGGATTTCCCAAGTCTCAAATGCGAAGCCACAGTAGGATAGCCCAATTCCTTTTGTTTGTTTGATTGAATCTTTATTAATTCATTTCTTTTTTTTTTTAATTTTGCCCGGGGTGAAGAAGTTTTCAAATTTTTTTCAACTTTGATTTCATCCACCGTTTTCTCTATGACAAGCTGAGGTTCAATATGGTAAATGTCTTACTGAATTTGTGTCTTTTTCACGTCGTATGTGGGTTTTGTGTTGTGTGTGTGTGTGGGTGTGTGTGTGTGTGTTATGATCAAGCGTTATTTTGGAGTTTAATGCATAGTTGCATACCCATATTTGTTGAAGTTTGGAATTTTTATGTTTTGGCATCCTTTGATCTCTAGATGACATTTTTAATTCACTAATTTGGGGTTTGTAATCAATTTAAGTTCAGTTTCTTCATTTCTTTTTTTCTCTCTTTTACTTTTGTTGAAGTAGTTTTACTTTAATGCAAAATAGACTTTGCAGGAGAGAAGAGAGTTCTGAACTCTGAACTTTGGCATGCATGTGCGGGTCCTCTTGTTTGTCTACCTCCGGTCGGAAGTAGGGTTGTTTATTTCCCACAGGGTCATAGTGAACAGGTTAGTATGCTTGGATTTGGGTTTAGCTTGTTCTTAATAATGAATTTTAAGCAGATTTTGTTTACTGCAGATGTTATGTGTGTATCAACTTGCGTTTGCTTCATGAAGAATAAATTATGAATATTGTTTCACTATCTTGGCCAAGGAAAAAGTCAAAAAGTTATTTTGCATCATATCATCATTACTGCCCTTTTCCTATTAATTTAAAAGTGTAAATAACGTAAGGGTGATCTTCAAATGTCTCTTTTTAGCACCAAATACAATTTTAGGGTATGGCCATTTGCGCGATCAAACCTTCCTGACTCCTACTCTTCAGCTTTTTTTGTTACCAGAGTTGATGCTCCAGTAGATCTTACTGGACTTGAGTTTTATACCATACCTTATCCTTTTTTACCCTGTTGGCCTTTTTTTAATAACAATTTCAAATCAAGTTTTATTGTTGTAATATGGAGGGAGGTTTATATTTCTGGAAAGTTAAACCAGAATTTTTTGCTGGTCTGGAATTTTGTATAATTTTCCCATATTGCTTTCCTATCAGACTCTTATGCCAACATTAAAAACTTGCAATATTCATGTATTGGTTGCTGCAAATACCTGGGAAACCGAGATGGTTGATCCCCAACCTTTACAACCCACCTTGTGAGGGTAGACCATGGATGGCTGTTGTTCATGGTTGCTATGAAAAAAAAAAGTTTGTCCTATGTGGTGGGAACCATTGGTTATTTCATTTTAAAATGCTTGTCGGGCCATGGATCATAGGGAATTGTGTCAAATTAAACCTGGTTGAACTAATGTAATGTCTGTATTGAGTGATAATCCTTGCTTTTGTGAAGGGTGCTTTCACTCTTTGGTGGAGCTGGAATGGCTTTCTTCCAGAGTTTTAGTCTACTCTGGTGTTTATGCTGTATGATATATATCCTGTTAATTATGTTGGTTCTTTATATTTAAACTTTGAAAACTATTTTCTTTTTGCCAAGGATTGGTATATAAGTACATATTTGACTAATAATTGCTGATTATTAGTCCTGTACTTTTGTTATACGTGTGCAGAGCATGTTTCAAACACATACGTTTTATGTAAAACTCTTTTGAGACAACTTAAGGTGTTGATAGTGATCTCCCCTTTCTCTGTATTGTGTTTTGCTCTGTGCCTGACTGTATCTTAGAGTCATCAGCATATCAAATATATTGGTTGAAATCATTAATCTGGTTCCTTACAAGTATGGTGGTTCATTCTATTTAATTAGACATCATATCAGTAACCAAACAAGCTTTTTGACGCATATATTGGTGGTTTTCTTTGTAGGTAGCTGCATCAACCAACAAGGAAGTGGATGCCCACATACCTAACTATCCAAGCTTACCTCCACAACTTATTTGTCAGCTTCATAATGTCACCATGCATGTATGGCTTGTTTAGTTTGGTTTTCTGATGCTTTATCTTCCTATAGACTTGTCTCTGAAGCCTAAAAATTTGTCAACTTCAGGCAGATGTTGAGACAGATGAAGTATATGCACAAATGACCTTGCAGCCTCTGAGTCTGGTATGCTATCTTTTCTGGGTTCTCATTGTGATTTTGTCAGTCTTTTTTATTGCTTCAAGCATTGAAGATTACTTTTTCTACAGCAAGAACAAAAGGAGGCTTACCTACCCGCAGAATTGGGCACTCCCAGCAAACAGCCCACAAACTATTTCTGTAAAACATTAACAGCCAGTGACACAAGCACTCATGGAGGGTTCTCTGTTCCTCGCCGAGCAGCTGAAAAAGTGTTTCCTCCACTGGTAAACTGTTGCCACTATAAGTGTTGATGTCTTTTCACAGTGTTTTATTTCTAATTTTATGCTATTGATTGCCTGCAGGATTTCTCCCTGCAGCCTCCAGCTCAAGAGTTGATTGCAAGGGACTTGCATGATAATGAATGGAAATTTAGGCATATATTTCGGGGTTTGTTTATAAGAATCCCCTTTTGCTCTTCAAATATGGATCTTTTTCGCAAGGAATGCAATTCTTAGCTTCATATGCCTTTGTAAAGTTGTAGAGAAATGCATTTTAACTTATCATTTGTGCTGAAGAAGTCATCAGAAACCTTCACTTAGACAATTGGCACTCCTTAATTATAATTGTCGCTACTGTTGATTATCTGTCATGTATGCCATATGGAGGTTAAATTCCCACCATCAAATTGCCCTAAGAGTAAATTGTACTTAACTTACAATCATTGACTTGTACCATGCAGGCCAGCCCAAAAGGCACCTCTTGACAACAGGATGGAGTGTATTTGTAAGTGCTAAAAGACTAGTTGCGGGTGATTCAGTGCTTTTTATCTGGTAGGTATCTGGCTTGTCTTCCATTTTAGCGTGCTTCCACTTGCATCAGAACAGAGTGGATTTAGATTTGTCTAGCATTCTCATGTCCAAAATGGATAATTCAAGCTGTTCTTTAGCTGAAGTTTGCATTCTTGCTTGCAAAAACATTTTTTTCTTGAGAATTACAGCTATGGTACTTTTTTTTTCCTTCTTTTCTCAGATGCTTAGCCAAAGAAACACTGATGAATTTCTATGAAAAAGCATGATATAATATTCGTTTTGGTACATGTCCATTAGCTGAGTTTTGGGGAACCATTTCTTCTCCTCACATGTTATGTGAAGGGTGCAGATATGGAGAATGCTCTCTCTATCTCTCTCTTGCTTTTTGCCTTTACTACAACTTTTTGTGGCTCTTTAAATTGCTTTTGTTGTAGATTGTTGGTATTTGATGCTTAAACCAACATTTGGGTTATTTTGACAGGAATGAAAAAAATCAATTGCTTCTTGGTATCCGACGAGCTAATCGACCTCAAACTGTAATGCCTTCATCAGTTTTATCAAGCGATAGCATGCACTTAGGGCTTCTTGCTGCTGCTGCTCATGCAGCTGCAACAAATAGCCGTTTCACTATATTTTATAACCCAAGGTATGGTGCCATTGCTGTGCATCTCGGTAATCATTAAAGTGTTCTGCTTAGTGATTTCTCAGCCCATCTAAACTTATTCTCCTTCAATTCAGGGCTAGTCCATCAGAATTTGTTATACCGCTGGCAAAATATATCAAAGCTGTCTATCATACTCGAGTGTCTGTTGGTATGCGCTTTAGAATGCTGTTTGAAACTGAGGAATCAAGTGTTCGTCGGTAAGTTTCAAACCCTTTAACTTTTAATGGTTGATTCTTGCTGTATAAAGTAGCTTTCCTTGCAAACGAATTAGATTATCATTCTTTTAACAGTGGCTTGATGTCTGACGGGCTTTCCTTACAAAAGGATTAAATTGCAGCTAGTACTCTGTTGAAGTTAGATCTGTTGTTTCATTTATGCACTTTCCTAATGCCTTTTTTGATCATCTAACAGATCACTTTTCTCTTTCTTTGTTCTGTGTCCCATCTTGTATGTTTACTTGTGAACATTATGGACTTTGAATCTGATGGTTGTGCATTTCCCAGATACATGGGCACTATAACTGGCATAAGTGACTTAGATCCTGTTCGGTGGCCAAATTCACATTGGCGATCAGTCAAGGTGTGTTGAGAATGATTGCCTTTATCATTTGTTTATTGAGAACCTTGCAGATTTGTTGTTTTAGATTTTCTATCTATGGTGATGAGACTTTGTGAAATTTAACTTGTTCATGCAGGTTGGCTGGGATGAATCAACAGCTGGAGAAAGGCAGCCAAGAGTTTCCTTGTGGGAGATTGAACCATTGACAACATTCCCCATGTATCCATCTCCATTTCCTTTAAGGCTTAAGAGACCATGGCCACCGGGATTACCTTCTTTCCATGGTATGCTAGTCTGCTGCTATATCTGTGGCTGTGAAGCTTCAACTACCTGCTTTACTTCTCTTATCTCCTCTCTGTCTAATTTGAACATAAAAAAGGTTATTTCTTTTTATTTGTAAGTAATTCTTTAACATTTTTATTCTTTTTAATTTGACTTGCTCTTGCTCTTAGGCATCAAGGATGATGATCTAGGCATGAATTCTCCATTTATGTGGCTACGTGGAGATGCAGATCGAGGAATGCGGTCTCTGAATTTTCAGGGGATTGGAGTTACACCATGGATGCAGCCGAGGCTGGATGCTTCCATGATGGGTTTGCAGACTGACATGTACCAAGCTATGGCTGCTGCTGCACTGCAAGAGATGAGAGCTGTGGATCCTTCCAAACCAGCAACTGCATCGCTTCTGCAATTCCAGCAACCCCAAAATCTACCCTGCAGGCCTGCTGCTTTAATGCAGCCCCAGATGTTGCAGCAGTCTCAGCCTCAGGCCTTTCTTCAGGGTGTTGAAGACAACCAGCATCACTCTCAGTCTCAGCCTCAGGCTCAGGCTCAAACACAGCCACATCTTCTTCAGCAACAACTGCAGCAGCAGAATTCATTTAATAATCAACAGCAGCCACAGCAACCACTGTCACAGCAACACCGGCAACTTGTTGATCATCAGCAGATTTCTAGTGTAGTGTCTGCCGTGTCACTGTATGCTTCAGCCTCTCAATCCCAGTCATCATCTTTGCAAGCCATATCTTCACTATGCCATCAACAGAGCTTTTCTGATTCAAATGGGAACCCTGTGGCCAGCCCTATTGTATCTCCTTTGCATAGTTTTTTGGGTTCTTTTTCCCAAGATGAATCGTCCAATCTGCCCAACTTGCCTGGATCCAACCCTGTAATAACTTCTGCTGCATGGCCCTCTAAGCGGGCTCCTGTTGAAGTTCTCTCATCTGGATCTCCACAGTGCGTTCTAACCCAGGTGGAACAGTTGGGGCCACCTCAGACAAACATGTCTCAAAATTCCATTTCATTGCCACCCTTTCCTGGCAGGGAGTGCTCGATAGACCAAGAAGGGGGTATCGATCCACAGAGCCATCTCTTATTTGGTGTTAATATAGAGCCTTCATCTCTTCTAATGCAAAATGGGATGTCAAGCCTTAGGGGAGTTGGCAGCGATAGTGACTCCACTACTATGCTCTTCTCTCCTAATTATATGAGTACTACTGGCACTGATTTTTCAGTTAATCCCGCAATGACACCTTCCAGTTACATTGATGAATCAGGATTCTTGCAGTCTCCATTAAACGTGGGCCAAGGAAACCCACAAACTAGAACCTTTGTTAAGGTCAGTTGCCTTTTGTTTGTAATATATATTTGTAGATTAATGAATTGGTTGGTTTTATGAGTTCAATTTGGTTTGTGAACTTTGGTTCTCCTTTACATGTTGCAAGTTTGATATGTTGGCAGTTTTGTTGTCCTTGTTTTTCAGATAAAATTATATTGATTCTTGGTAATTGATGTGAATATTTTTGCTATGGAACAGGTTTATAAATCAGGGTCCTTTGGGAGGTCACTTGATATCTCAAAATTCAGCAGCTATAATGAGCTGCGCAGTGAACTTGCACGCTTGTTTGGCCTTGAAGGCCAGTTGGAGGACCCTTTGAGATCAGGCTGGCAGCTTGTATTTGTTGACCGGGAGAATGATGTTCTTCTCCTCGGTGATGACCCCTGGCCGTAAGTTTCCATTCTGCTTACTATTATTGTATGGATATAATTTTGTCTCAACTTTAGGATGTATTTCGAGTTCTTTGGACCATTTAGCATATGAAATTGTTGCATTCTATCATAAAAATTCTTTTGACATGCACATATATGTAAACTTAGTGTGGTAAATTTCAACCCTTTTGGGTGCATGCATTTAAATCTATTTTGAGGTTCAACATGCTAACTTCTTCATTTTCTAATTCCGGACTTAATTCCCTTTTTTTCCCCCTTCCCCCAGGGAGTTTGTGAACAGTGTCTGGTGTATCAAGATACTTTCACCTCAAGAAGTGCAGCAAATGGGCAAACGAGGCCTGGAGCTTCTAAACTCTGTCCCAGTTCAGAGGCTCTCTAATGGCAGCTGTGATGACTATGTGAGCCGGCAGGACTCGAGAAATTTGAGCTCTGGTATTGCTTCTGCGGGGTCTTTGGACTACTGAACAATTTGACGGGTTAAGATACTGTTTTTCTCCTTTAATATTAGCGTCTCTTGCAACCCTTTTATAGTAGGTGGAAAGAGCTGCCTAACTCAAGCTTGAAGTTTTTATATATAAGCTAATACTGTAATTATAAGAGATTTTTGTCTCCTATGTTGTTGAAATATGTACAATCCATATTTATTAGGATTTCAATATTCGTGAAGCAAGCTGATGTTGAACAATTTTTGAAGTTTCCCAAGTTATAAAAGTTCCTATCTGGTATGAAATTGGATGGCTAGTAAATCCAAGAGCCACGTGATGGTCCTTATAGTTAAAAGTAGTTGTCAAAAACCAACCATTTCTGCGTTCCATTAGTGTGAAAATGGCCCCCCTTTTCTTGTTTTGTTCCAACTTCTGAAAAGTGAACACAAACCCTGCTTTCACTATCATCATCAGCTCATCAATCTAGAGCGTTTGTCAATATCCTAACTGAAGGGGAGACATATGCCATCGTTTCTGGCAGTCTCCTGTTTGATGAAAAGGAGACTAGTCCTTCAAACATATCCTGGTAAGAAAAAAAAGGTCGAGTGTCGGGGTTGTTTGAGGAGGGATAAATAAATGATGGCACCTAGACTTGGAAATATTTGATAATTCCATTGCAGTTCATCTAAACAACAATGATTATATGATCATATAACCATCTTTGGGATGGTATTGTAAAGCAATTTGAAAAGATTCTGAAGATCAGTAAGACAACAAAAAACCAGTCTCTCGAGGTGTAAAACATCGTACCTAGGACATGTTTTTATGCCTTCAGAGACTCTTTAGAGGCAGCTGATCAAAACATATCTGCTCCAATTCTGTCTCACCAAATTGTGACTACATGTTTTAGAGGTGGAAATTTTGCTGCAACTCAAATGAGGATGGCAAGAGAACCCTACAAATCGCTAGAAAAACGTTGAAGTTGCCTTTCCTATCTCTTCATCTGGAATTCAAGTAAAAAAAAAAGCGGAATCAAATGCAGCAGATGAAATGGAAGGTTTCCAATAATTCGTAGCCGAATTTATGGGCCAGCTTTATGTCGGTAGACCTGACATGTCCACAAGCAAATTTCATGGGAATTTCTACCAAATTCCCATTTACTCAAGAGGATAAAATTCAATGAATTTAAAGAAAGGGTAGGGAGAGAGAGGAGATATTAGTTGAGGTCTCCTTTTTGGGTTTGTGGGACTGGGTGGCGAGTACTGGCCACAGCCTAAAGGTGGAAATGAAGGGTTAGTTTTGTGTTTTTGTGATTGCATGTTGTGGGGCATTTGACAATAGATAGGACTTGAGTTGAGGAATGCAATGGTGACAAAAGGTGGGGCTCCCATAAACAATAATAGTACCAATTAAAATTAAAGGAGTTGGGTTGGCAATCCAACAACCTCTGCCCAAAGCCCTTTAGTTTAGGTGGGGGGTGAGAAGGATGTCCTCTTTCCTTTAACTTGCACTCCATCAAAACTTTTGCTTGACCCAATGTTCTGCCAAGCATGTAACATGGCCAAAAAGAAACGTTCCTTTAATATATGTGAATTATATGTGTGTTGGTGTCTTGGATTTAAGGAAGAATTTTGAATTTCACATCGAATATAATAAAAAAGTTATCAGGATATAAAAAGATTTACATAATTTTTTTTTTGTGAGGTACTTTTTGTAAGATAAAATCGTGAGGTCAAAGGGGTCAGAGTAGACAATATCTCACAATGATGTGAACTGTGTCAGTTAAGCTGATCTGAGATGTCAGAAGAGTGAATGTTTGGGTCCCGAAACCGCGCAGATTCAAAGCTTAAGTCTCGACCCGTGTGACACTGGCACTTGGCAATTGGTATTCATTTTTGGGTTGGCATGCAAGTGTCACGGGTCGAGACTTAAGCTCCGAACCCGCGCGATTCCAAGACTCACGCATCCACTCATCCGACGTCTCAGATCAGCTTTTTTGTCACGGTTTACACCTATGAGATATTGTTGGCTCTAATCCCCTAATCTCACGGTTTTATCCTACAAAAAACATCTCACAAAAAAAAGATGGTGTGAACACTTTTATATCTCAGTGACCTTCCTATTATGTTCGATGTGAGATTTAAGATTTCCGTGACATAAGTAATAAAAAATTTTATTTTAGTTGTAAGAGATTTGCCAGTGGTGAGGGAGAGTTGTTTTCCTAAGATTGTCAATTATTTTCCTTCATTACCATTTTTTTTGGTATGAAAGAGACCATAACTCTAGATTTGTTGAGATTTCAACTTCAAATTCATTAGATGTCAGCTTTTATATGACTGAACTTTTCATTCCCTCCTCCGTGAATGTGGAGAAGATTGAAGATATTGTTTAACAACAGAAATCTTGTGTATATTTGTCTATCAAATATTTTTTGTACATTGCAGGTTTGAGTCCTAAATGATAGTTTATGACCCTTTTCTTTTCTGTACTCCCAAGATCAGTCAGATTTAAGCCAATTCTCTTAGCATTCAACCCTTGGAGAGTAATGGAACCCTTGTTTATGAAAAACAAAGAAATGAACATAGTATAGCAAGTTTAGTTTCATTAAAGCTATGTTCTTGTTTTTGACTCAGACAACTGCTCTTTTGATGTTCTTTTCACTTCTCTTTTCTACTTTTGACATTTTGAGTTGTCTGAATCTATCATAAAAGTCATTTCTTTTCTTTTCAACCTTGAATACTTTCAGCAACATTCATAAAAAGAAATGCATGGTACAATTGCAAAAGCGAAAGTCATCTAAAGGAGAGAGGTTCAAGATTAGTTGTGGTGGGAAACTTGACGTAGAAAGTCACTGTCCCTAAAAGAATATGCTTGACACAAACCAAGTCCATGAATCAGAAATTCCTTGGTAAATTGGTACGGTTTCCATAGGCGTGAAGCAGAAAATTATTACAGAAATCGGCTAGCAAGAACCAATCAGATTAAATAGGAGCTACTGATGTATAGATTATTACTATTACCAAAGGGGATTTAACCCATCAGGCCATTACACACAGAACCAAAGTGGTAAAAGAGAGTTGAACAAGCTCAAATGTTTGCTTAAGCGGAAGCCAAAACCAGAGAGAATTCCCAGCGTGCATGTTTTGCCAGGGACCCATTTTTTACCAAGGCACTTTTCAAGCCATATAGATTCCAACAACACGTACTGACCAGTGCGGATCCTATCAAGTCTAGAGAAACCGAGGATAGTTTTGTTGACTGGACAGTAGCCCAAGTCTTCAAGGCTACAGGCCGATCTGAACCGTGTCCGGACTCTTTAGCACCAATATTAAGCTGACTAAACCATTGCAGCATATGGAGCATAAAGACTGCTTCCACTTCCTGCCCGTTGGGCTGACTTAAGCACCACTACATCAGTGCCTCCCCTTTTAAAATGACCAACAGCCCAGTACCAATTGAACTTTAACCGTTGGCAAGGAGAGACATAGCCCATAAAGAAAATAACGACCTTAAGAACACATTTTACATTTTCAAATAATGTTAAAGATACGATTTAAAGATGATAATATTCTCTTGTATCGACATGATTCATTTCCAAAATGCTTCCTTTAAATTCTTGAAACTAGTCTTCTATTTAGATACTTTCCAGATGCGTGCAAGATTCTTCCTTCATGTTTAGATCTCCTTCAATAATTTGCAATTTTTCTTCTTCCTTTGTGTAATCGTTTTCCTTTCAAAAACAAAGATAAGGAAGGATTTATGCAAGATTTATTTGGAACAAGAGTCTCTCCCCATGGTGTGAAAATACTATTGGCATTATCTGCATCAATTGCACTATTCATTTCATCTTTCGATGTAAAGACATAAAAACTAAGGCCACTTCTAAATACAAAATTCATTGACCATCCGCTAATACTCGTCATAAGTGTACAAGAGCATGAGCAATTTTGCTTTTATTCATTGTTTATTATATTACGAGTTTATGACAACCATCCACAACACATGCAACGAGATGATGGGATTCTTCCTGTTTGGCGAATGTATTCTGCTTGAGCAGCAGTTCTTTCTGCATCTCGATTTTTTCTGGCTTCGGCTGCAGCTCGTTTTTCTTCTGATCTTTGCCTAGCCATAGCAATCTTCTTCACCATCTTTGCTTGAGCTTGAGCTCTCATTTGTTCTACTTTTGCCTGAAAAGTCAAAGACAAGCTTATTATCAGTTTATTCCTCAGCATGTGGCCACAGGAATGATCCTTTATGACTGCAATCTTTCTGGTTAAACAAAGACTTGAATCAAATGCTTTAGATTTTGTAATGGAATTTAACTCGGTTAACTGCATGATCTCAATCTAAAACCAACCCATATTTCAAGGTTCATTTATTTTGAATCATGTCTGAAGATTTGAGGTTAAGATGAACATAACTGTCCTTCCTACTAGCATTTTATCCAGGTTTACTCTCTTTATTTTCACTGAGCTTTTACATTACCAATTCCCTACGAAGAGATCAGCAATCTTTATTTTGAGTATGTGATGACACAAGGGATATCAGATACCTCTATTCTTCGCATCTCTGCTTCTAGTTTTGCTCTCTGCTCACTCTCCCATGCTTGAATTTTGATCTCTTCACGCTTATACCTAGGAAATAGAAATATGCATTCAGCAAAAATAAATAAATGGGAAATAGTTTTAAGCGCATAGAAATTTGTAAACTATTGGATCATATACCTTGCTGTATGCTTAGACTTTTCAGCTTCCTCCCATGCAGCTGCTCGTTTTTCATATTCATTCTGCTCAAGCTCCTCTATACTAGTGGTTTCAACTGCAGATGTATTGTTTTCCTTCTCGTCTTTGCTTGCCCAAGCAGCAATATTCATCTTGCCAAGCTGGACGCCAAGCGCTACAATCTCTCTTCTTGTCTTGAGCTTCATTTCTTGCTTGGACAATTCTTTCTTGCCATTATTAGTGGGATGCTGTGACTCATCATCTGTAGCGTGGTCCAAAGGCGTTGATGTTGGTTCCCCTCTTCTGGGAGTAGATGGGAATGAAGACGTTGGGCTTCGGAGAGGAGTTGTTGCCCCTACAGGGGTAGCAGTCCTAGAAGGCTCTTGACTTGTAACAGGAGTCATTTCTGTTCCCATATCTCTCATAGAAACTGATCGTATTGCAGGCAGAACTGCAACGCCAAATCTTAAAGTATGAGATAGAGATTAAATAAAAAAAAAAAAACTATGGTCAATATTCTGTGTACTAAAGAATATCAAAAAGGTTTCAAGCCATTTGACGGTAAAAGGAAAAGAAACTAACATTGCAGCTACTATATAAAATTTATTAAAGCAAAATAAAATGACAATGTTGTAACAGCAGAAAAACCAAACTCTACAAATTCTCCTTCACATACCATCCCCACAGCAAAAAGAAAAAAGAATCAGGGTATGAAGGAGCCTGAGAATCCCTTGTTGGTACTTCCCACAGGGTAAGGTGACCATTAAACTCATCAATTCACATGATGGTTTCAAGGCCCATATAAGAAATCATCATATGCATATGTAACTATAATGGCTTAAGCTTCATAAACCCTTCACTCAACTCATAGCATCCGTTTGGGGCCCAGAAGAGTGGAAGCAACAGTTGCCCAGCCCCATGGCTCAATCTGTTGCATGGGAGTCAAACATTTCAATGTTCTTAATCACATTATAATGCACGTGCTCATTATGGTGATCAGATGATACAGTAGACTCTATAATCAAGATGGATGCACGGTGCATCACTAAATATGCAGTCTGCTAATATCTAATTTTTAGGCACAAAACATGTAAAAGCTCATCATGCAAATTAACCTGCTGTATCTTCTGCTGAACTTTCTGTACAAGATAAATCCCTCTGAGCCACTTCCCTCAAATCTTTACTTTGAGGACACCGATTACTTAACAAGTTTCCTCCATATGCTTCCACAGACTTAGGATGAGCTGCAGAAGGAATAAAAGAGAACTTCTCGAATGCCATCTGCACAGCCGGCTGACATAAATCTACCCTCTTAGTGTCAACCATGCGATTAACTGCTGACCTCTGATCATAATTTGCGGACTCTGGAGCAACTCGCACCATATTTGTCATGGGAAATCGATTAGCTTGGTTGTGAAATGCATTCTTCTTAGCATAAGCAGCTTGGACATTTTGCCTGTTCATTATCCATTTCTCTGCATCATTCCACTTAGATGACATAGGTCTCGAGTATGACCTTGTCATGGAATTGTGTACTCTCTCTCCCTTATGAAACTCAAAGCTTGATGAACTAGCGTTACTATCATAATCAAGATTTTCATCTTCTAGTGTCCTCATGGGATGAATTGTGCTGGAATTACCATTATCATTCTTTGAGAATTGCTGCAATTTAGCATGATCCACTTCAATGCTCTCCCTTGCAAGTGACTCCTTTGGTTGGCTAGAAATTTGATCATATAGGCTGGAATCCAACACCACCTCATTGGATATTTTAACGGGTGCAACATCAAAGCTTGGAACTGCAATTCAATTAAATATGTTTAAATCAGCAGATAAAACACTCTGCTCAATGCATCTGCTCTCCCTGCCTAAACCAGGCCAAGAAACAAATGGAATCATATTTAGCCATGATAGTGCTAGTATTTTTCCACCAAAAAAATTCTTCGAAAGAAATGTTACCTATATCTAATTTACAGACCATAAGATCTTCAAAAGTAGCAGACTTCTACCTGCTAGTTTCATTCAGGCCAAAGAAAGAAAAAAGAAAGCACTTGCTTTGCAGCGCAGAGGGAGTCCAGATGTATGAGTTATAATAATGAAGAAAAGAGAGAAAGTAGCAAACCTTCTTCATCAAAATCTCCATTCTTAGAGGCTAATAAACCGTTGACAAACTCAGCATCCTCAATCCTAGAAGGAGATGTCCTAGAAGAATTGCTGTTTGATCCATCTTTCATTCTGTGATGATGAGGCCCCATCAGCTTCATCCTCAATTTACTTGGTGAAATACCGCCCTGCAGTAAAGATCCAAAAAAGGAATTTAAAAAGGAAAAGGAAAGAAAGAAACTTTAATTCACATTCAATTTCAAATGAAGAAAAGAGCATCCCTTTATGTAGAATCAATGTACTAAGCCCATACCCCATATTAAACTGTGATTAAATACGAGAAAAATCATGGTACTTTTCCATTGTCTTGGTTCCATCAATCAAAAAAGAAAAAATGTAAAGCAAACAAATTAACCTTCCCATCATCACAACCAACTTAAAGGAAAAAAAAAGCATTCAACTTCCTGCATAAAACAAGCAAGGAAATCAATTCCCAATTTCCCATCATCTAGAAAAGACTCCATTTTTGGACCCAAAAGGAAAAAAAAATTATCCATATTTGTTTCTCCTCACTTTTAATTCAATAAAACAAGAATAGGGAAACCTTTAAACTTTAAAATTTGTTTAAAACCCAGATCAGAACAAAAACCATTCACCACCCAAAGACAAGTTTTTTTTTTTTTTTTTCTTCATTTCACATCTTAACTCCCTTTCTAAAAGAAAGTTGACATTAACAATTCATAAACCAAAACCTCAAAACCCTTCATTAACGTACAAAAGCTCAAAGAACACAAAAAAAATGGCTTACCTGAACTTTATCTATTCTCTCATACTCCATTAGATCTCTCTATTAACTCCAATAAGACTCTAAACACTTTCTTTTTCTCACTGCTGAGTTTCCAACTTTCTAAGTTAAACAAGCAGAGATAGAAACGAAAAAAAAACCTGACGGTCTCTGTGTTTTGTAGACGACAAGTGTAAAAGACTCTGTTCATATCATGGTCCTCTCTTCTTGTCATTTCTCCTCTCCATTACAACCTTCTACATCTTCCCCATTTTGATCTCGCCACGTCATCACTACGTGGGGTCCATCTGATGTGGCCGTATCAGGGTGGGCCGACCTATCACCTATGTGAAACTCCTAGTCGGCGCTATTCTAAAGTTTCAACCTTTGAACTAAAAAAATAGCCGAGGAATTGGCGATTACGACAAAAGCTAGCTCTTTGTAGTAATTGAAATTCTTTTGGTCATTAATCAAAATTGGTTTTCTTTTTTTTCTTCTTTTTTCAACAGAATACAAAAGAAAATATGGAAATGATGAAGACCACCATGGCCTTTTCAACAACTGCAATGATGAAAAAGTGGAATTTCATTTTGCTCTGTATAGTAACTGCCATTTCCTTCTAAAACAGCAATTGGGTCATTATCAATCATTCACAAAATTTGCAAACACTTTATTCTTTTTTTTTCACTGTTTTAATTTCAATTATTACCAAAAACAAATTGAAAGGAAATTAGAGGATTAAGAATAATAATGAAGGAAAAAGGGTAGTATTAAAAGAAAAGAGGAGTTGTTAAATCATATCTCAAATGATAATAATGCCATATCAATCAAATCTAATCGATTAATTTATGATCTTTCTTTAGTATTTAATTACCTGTAAATTTTGACTGATTGATTGTTCAGGGTGGTCCTCACAATCTCAATGTTTGATTGGTTAAAAAAGTTTAAACACAAAGAATAGAAGAGAATCCAGTCAGAACCTTGGTTCAATCACAGCCATTAGGCCTGGCATGTTCAGGCTGGCACCCCATCCTTTGCGAAGTTCAAAAGTTTTATCATTGTAAAAACTAAGCAAAAATCATCTCTTTGGGTTAAACTTAGAACTAAACATTGTTTACTTCTGGTTTGACCAATGACAAGTAAAGGGTAAAATGGAAGCAAAAGATGACGCCAGTCGCCAGGGAATCCAGGACAGTACAATATAGATAAAATCTGAAGACAGAAGACAATAGATGGGATTTGGGAGTTCCAAATTGGCCAATGAGGTTTCTTTCTCTTACGTTGTGTCAAAGGTATGCTGAAACTTGAATCATTTTTGCAGCCCAAATCTAATCTAATTCTGGTTGTTGAGATAATAATGTGATTGACATGACTTTCTACCAACTTTGAAACACCCTAAGCTTTCTTTTTCAGAAAAACAAGAGAAGGCACCAAAGATTGAACTATAAAAAGTTTTACTACTAACCAGATTAATTGTTCCTGGATCTTCTCCACATACTCTAGCTGCAAAAAAAGTTGTTAATAATAATCAATTATTAATAATAAAATTGCAAAAAAATTATACAAGCATTGAAAAATAGTAATTAAAAGAGTTGGAAAGGAGTCGAGTTGCAATGATTAATTGATTCATGAATTAGTTATATATAAAATTAAAAATAAAATGTAAATTTATCTTTATGCTTATATAAATTATTTAAATTTATGATTAATTTTTTACAAGTATCTATGTACAAAATGATAATTCATTATTAATACACACAGAGGAGATTTTTTTTTATAGTATTAAGAATTTTGAATTCCTCGCAGAGCTTTTTACGATTATTTAAAAGGCACCTGATTGGAATTTGTAAGAGAGTTAATGGTAAAGGAAAAAACAAAAGAACAAGGGAAGGTGGCCAAATATTCCTCTTTAAGTCAGTAGTCAAAGATACTTGGGAGAACAGAACACATCCACCAATGTCTTTTTTTTTTTCTTTTTTATGTGAAGGTGTGAATGAATGAACATCGAACAGCGTCAGAGAAGAGAAGCAGAGGGTTCAGAATTCTACAACTATGTCACCTTTTCTTTTTGGCCCTTTGAAATAAAGGAACCCCTGCCCTAAACCCTGTTGTTATTAGGGCATTAATTAATCCATTTTAATTAGTTTGAGAAAGAGAAAAGGACACTTGAATTTCTACATTATTAACGTTGCTTTTGCTTAGCCCCTAATGGCATTTAATATTGATAGAGCTAAGTACCTAACCCATGGCCTCTTCAAATTTATTTTTCTTCTACAAAATGTTGCTAGCCTTAGATAGGCCAAAAGGGATTTTTTTTTTTTTATCAATTACTATCAATAAATATTAGTGCATCATCATTTTTTTTTTTTTTAATGATCTTGAGACATGTGCTGAATAAAATTCAGAGACTTCATCATTGAACTGTCACAACTTTGCTGATTACATCAACGCAGTTATGGAACGAAATTAAAATTTATCTTTATCAAATGATATTTTAGCATATTAGACCTAACCAATGAAAAAAGATTAGGGTTTCTTTCTCTCTACCAACAGTTTTTAGGTTACAAAATCCAATGCATAATTTAAAAAGAAAATTATTAATGTGTTTTTCAATTGGTAATTAGGGTCTCGGTAGAGGTGGAATGGGAGGATTGATTTACAAGGTATGTGTGATATGTAACAAGAAAAATGATTAGCGGTTATAAAAATAATATTTTTGAATACGTTTTAATACTCAAATCAATACAAATCAATACAATGGGAAAGATGGCAATAGAAAAAGAAAAAAAAATGAACTAAAAAAATTTTACCTGTTTAGTACGAATTTATCTTTTTATTTTATATGTGTTAATGTGATCAACTTATATGTTTATTGTCAGCTAAGCATTAGGTTAATTAAGATTGTCGTTGATTTAGCAATCTTAACTACTGACTTAGCGACGAAGACAACAAAAATAATAATCCTAAGTCCTAACGCCATTGTTGGAAGAAAATACCTTCTAGGGTTCCAAGGTTTTTTTATATGTATTTAAGAATTAAGGGCACTAAACTCAACAACATTTCCCTAACTAAAAAACTAATTACGTATCCACTAGGTATAGTTTTGTAGTAGCTCAATGCCCCAGGATAAAAGATGAAGGGTCCCCTACCCTACTTATGATAATTTTTATGATGGATGGGATCTCAAGCTCTCTACTAAAGCATTAAACTTTGATAATTAAAAATATAATATTATAATATAATATAAAAAATTTTAATATAATTTAATGTTTTATTAAAAATTATATATAAATTTGATAAATTTAAAATATATATTTTATATTTTCGTATTAATACGAATTATAACATGTAATTTTTATATAAAATATAAAATAAATACATACACAAATTATCTGATTTACACATCACGAGTAATCCTTTCTTTATCAGCTATAATTTTCTAGGGAGAATTTGCCTCAGATGATGGTGTCCAAAAACATTCTTTATACAATAATAATGTGCGTGTGGAACTGTGGGACTGTGGGTTTGGAGATCTATTCACATGTGATGTTCCCCGTTGTCAATGGTCCACGTCCTTTTGTATTTTAGGGCAATCGTTGATCGGGGCCTGGCCCCACTTCGGCTGGCCGTGGCCGCCCTTTGATGTGTATAAGAGTGAACAGGGTGACTTGTCTTGCATTCTTCATTTACCATGTTATCCACATGGCAAGAAGCATGGTTCTTAACACACTTGCATTTTTTTTTGGTAATACAATAAAGATATTTTAGGTATTTTTCGAATTTATTCTTCCAAAAATTTTAAGGTAATTCCCCATATCATGTTAAATCTTGATTGAAAAGAAAATGAACTTCTTTTTATCAATTAAACTAATTCATATGTGTTTTTACTGAAGTTGATATCAATTATTACTGTAATTTATAATTATTCAATTTTGGTCATGAATGGATTATTTAGATTTATTCATAAAATTGTTAGAAAACGCGTATGAATCTCATGCACATAACTTTATAATCATTTAATTTCAAACAAAATTGTTTTGATGTGCCTAAGTTCAAAACTTTGGATCATCAATTTTTTTTTCAAGATTCCTAATTTGTGGAAATTAGCTTGTGGGGTTCATTGGCAACATGGGATCGTACCCCACAACTTAATTAGTAGCATAATAAGTATACATTAGCCATTGCATACGGCTTGAGATTGGCCTGTAATTGTGCTCTTATAAAATGTCATTTTTTTGACTTTATGAGAGTGACTCTACCAAAAATTCAAGGTCGGCTGCGGTTATTTGAATGAAGGTAAATCTGGTTCGCCAATTCGAAAAATGGCTGAAAAATGTTGGCCAAACCTGTGATTCAATGTATTTTAGAATTTATTTTGGTAGGACCATCCAAATATTCATTCATGGCATGATCAAAAAGAACATTGTCCGTATTCCCTCTTATTTCAATCATAAAAAGGTATCCAAACTTTTTTCAAACTTTCTCAAACTAACTGGAGAAATTTTAGACCAACCAGAGTCCAGACATGGCCTATAGACTTAGCCTTACATGTGCCTGTATAGAAAACAACAGCTCTTACTTAAACTTGATTTTGCTGTGGAAATTCCATTGAATGTGGGGCATGACAATGGAGGGAATACCAAGTTGGACTTGTTCACTGAAATGGGCAGGATAATCTTTCATCTTTCTCACATGGGTCCCTTATAGTTTACCAACTTTCTCCAATCTTTGAATGTTCTTCTTTGTTCTAATGTTTCAGACATTAATTTATGTTTGTGTAGCTTTAAGATCAATCATGAATAGGACATTTTGGAAGGAATGACTTGAATAAAGATGCATATAAAAACTTGTTGAAGGTTTAATAATTCAAAATTCTCAATTACCGTTTTATGTGGGTCATGCAAGTTATTGGCAGGTCATGTACTTGTTTGAGGATATAGAATTATAGAAATCTCACCTACCAAAGATTTTTGATTGCCTTCAAAAGCTTGGCAATTGATGTTGCTCCTTCAGGAAACCTGACAGGGGAGGGTAAAAGTGGTTCAAAAGTTAATTGATATTAGCTTTTCTAGTGTTGATCCCAAAACCTAGTTCAAGCTAGTTTAAATAAATGGAGATAGCCAACTTCATATCATCATGTTGGTTGAGGGGTTGAAGTGATGATTAATTTGCCTGCCTACCATCTAACTTAACGTGCACATTATAACTTTGTGAAAAAAGGAGAAAAATGCAGATTCTATTCCTTCTTTGGTTCTTAAATTTGGTTCATTTTCCTGATTGAAATCTCGTATTCTTTAGCTAAAAGCAGTGGTTTCTAATTACTATATTTTTCTCCCACTCAAGAATTCATGACCATAAACAATCTTTTAGACTTTTACGAATTAATTGAATTGGAATCAATTCGAGAGTAAGTCAACTTGTTGAAGAATTTATGAATATATTCAGTTTTTATTTGTTTATTAAATTTAATAAACGATTACGAATAATATTTTAAAGTTCGTTAATTAAATACATTCATTTCCAACTAATTGAATTAGAATCTAGAGTAAACAATAAAACCTTCGATGAATAATTTGTAAATATATTCGATTTTTGTTTATTTATTAAATTTAATAAATGATTACAGATAATATTTTAAGGTTCGTTAATTAAATACATAACATAATTCATTCAAGTTTAATTTGTTTAAATGATATAAAAGAATAAAGAATTCAATGAATAGTTTGTTGAATAAGCTCTATTTCTATTCATTTGTAATCATTTATTAAACTTAACAACCAATCACGAATAATATTTCAGGACACGAACTTAACAAAATTTATTTATATCCAATTTCTATGTACACCCTTAAATTCTTGGTAGTTTGAGCATCCAATTTCTATGATTAGCAACAATAACCATTTCTTAATTACTGTTAGTTTGAAGACTATAGCAATTATTATTGATTTTTCCTGCCAAAATATGGATATCATATCAAAGATTCAAAGTGAAGATGGTTAATCATAAAGGCTTGATAACTTTGTTCAATAAGGAAGAGTTTTAGGTCATAGTATTGTATATTGTATCCATAAGAGGAAAACAAAATCTTACCGAATAAAGGGAAGCTTTTTCGTACATAACCTGAAATAATTCATTCATGGTAGACTTGAGGGTGACAAGCTCGATCAGGTGATTCCCCTGAAAGCTGCAGAGTGGGACTGCCTTGCTACATATACTTTTTCACATTGTTGGCCTCAGAAGATTAACACCTTCAAAGCCCCAAGAATTAAATTCTTATTAACTAATCCTGTTTTTCATTTTTTGGTAAGCAATAAAAAAATAGAAAGACAGGATTCACAGGAAAGACAACTTAAAAATACACTAAAGCTAGGGAATATCAGGAACATAACTGCAAAATAGGCTGCTAAAAGGGGTTTATTACCGTAAGTAGACCTGGTAGACAAAAAAAACACAAATGTGATAGGAATTAAAATTTTAACAAAAATTATATATAAATTTAATAAAAATAAAAAAATATTTTTTATTTTTTATGTCTATACAAATTATAATACAAATATTATATAAAATATGACACAAATGTCAGTAAGAATCCAATGTAAAGATGTGTAAATCTAGGTAGAACAGCCCAAGTTTTTGCTTTGATAGGCTTGGGGTTGAGCTTAGAACAAGGCGCCGAAGCTCCGAAGTTGGGTGAAGCCCATGTTTGACTTGGTGCTTTTTTCTAATCCATCAGGCCAGATGAAGCTAACAAATTCCACTTCCACCTTTCAAAATTTTCACCAAAAGTTGTTTGTTATTCTAATTCCAAGCGCTTGGTACCTCTGACTGGCTCAACGGCAAAGGCAAGAAACTTGTGACCATTACCCTTTTCACTTCTTTTTAGGTTCCTTTTCCCTCAAGAAAAGAATGATAATGAGAAGGGGGCCTTCTTATTTTTATACATCTACCAGACATAAAAGTCCATTGAATCTCAGGCTGCAGTTTTCGTTCAATAGTATTTCATGTTAAATTTCAATTTCATCAAAGAATTCAAATTGGTATGTACATGGGCTCTAACTAAAAATAGCTTAACTGAATCCCTTGATTATACTACTTATGGCAGCATATGCAACAAATTATTTGCATCACAACAAAATCTATATATGCAAAATTGTCAAGAAACATTCTTCTTTAATCTCATATGATCCGTCCTTCATTCCTGGTTTCTTCTCCATTTTCTAGAACATGATGCTGAGGGGGAATCTGATAGTTCTGTACATTTTCACTGCTAACATAGACAACCCAGAAGATGTCATACTTAATACTGAGGGAAAAACGATCAAGGTAGGGCAGCATTGTCTTCCTGTAATCCGAGGTAAGGATCCATGAATAACATAGTAGAAGAGATTTCCATACGTAAAGGCATGCTACCCTTGGCATGCTTTGGCATTTCAAGCAAACTCCTGCTGTGGCCCCTTCCATCTTCAAGAAACGAGACCTGAATAGGGCTAAGTTCGCGTAGGAGACATCGTTTAGGTCACTGGAAGAAGATGTAATCAGATTCATGGAGACTATGTCACCTGTGGAGAACTTGGCAGCATTGGAGCCATCTTTTGATTCTCCAGCGTATGCATCAAAGAAGCTATGTTCAGTTAAAACAGCCATGCTTGACATGCTTGTTAACATTGATAGCTGGAGAAAACGGATAAGGGTGGCTTGATTAAAAATTACAGAATCTCAATCCTGATCAATAGTCCAAAAACAAATTTATCACACTGAGCAGTAAAATAAAGTTTTAGTAGCTAATTATAGTTCTTTCATAATATTCATTCTATTCAATATTGTTGGTCAAGCCAGATACTTTTTACACAGCTTACAAAAAAGAAACCCTCTAATGACTGCCAATAATTAGTATGGAAAGCCCAACAGATATATGATTCAATTCCAAAGCTTTTTCTTTTTCCTTTGGACCAAACCTAATGGCATTGTTGAAATCATTTCTGGTAAATCTAATTTCCATCCTGACCAAGAAAGAGAGCCTAGGACATTTGATAGGAAATATTTTGCAATGAATTTCAATCATTCAACAAATTTGTTTCTCATGTTACTTCCTTAGGATAACCAAAAAAGAAAAAAAATCTGGATTCTACTTGAGGCCTGCTATGATTTTAATATGGTTTGGGACGCTACCAGAGTTTATGTTCATATTGGTTTTACACAATTCCCTTCTTGAAAGGATTGCATTAATGATAGTTTCAAAAGTGTTTTAGATTAATCAATCAAGAAGCAATATTGCAACAGATACAACAGTTCCAGGAGGAGCAATCCAACTTACAAGGGTTGTAGTCAAAAGTTCTTTGTTTTCGGAAGATTTCTTCATCCATCCTCCATACCATATGATCTAAAGAGAAAACAAGGCAGTTGAAAAATCTTCAAAATGGAATAAGGTATGGTATTGAAAGGAAGATCATGGAGAAAAAAACAGGACATATAAAAATAAGTTGTTGGCTTTTAGCTTACCAGATTACCATGGATGCTCTTGAATATAGAACTTTGAACACAACCAAGAGTTTCAGTGCATACACAGAACTGTTTCAGTGACTCAACAAGTTCATCAACAAGTACAACCGTTGGCTTAAACACAAAAAGGGTTACATCCAAATTTCTGTTATTGAAAGGAACAAAGCAAGCCATAACCCTTTTTTTTCCCCCTTTTTACTATCTCCTGAGATTATTTTTTTTTTTTCTCTTACCTTTCTTTCTTCTTTATATCTTGAAATGAACTGATTAAAGGTAAAAAAAAAATATGAAAGGGAAATGGGAACTGGAAACTTCGGTTTGGTGGCGTAGTTGAGGGGTTGGAAGAAAGAAAGAAGAAATTCAATTAGTCATGGGAGCTTGCCTGGTCTACCTTGCCTACTTGCGAGGAAAACTGAAAAAATGATTTTAAAGCCCTGAGAAAAGACTAGCTAATAGTCTCCTGTTTTGACTCTTTCCACACTTTATTTTTTTAAAACAAAATCTCTATATCACAACTAAAACTAATGTTTTGCAAATTGATCATTCAACTGAAGAGGTTTTTTTTTTTTTTTTTTTTGTAATTTGGATGTTGGACTTTGTTATTTTCATATTGGTTTTGATTATTTAATTGTAATTGTATGATAATGGTCTATATATTAGAAGTTTGAACACAGCTCTATGTTGCATTGAAAGAAAGAAAAAAAAGAAAGAATTTCAGGTTTCAGTTTAATCTTAGGTTTGGTTGTTCTACAGAAAATAATTTTTGTAAAATAATTTTCAAAAAATATTTATAATTTTTAAATTGAAATAAATTTTTTATTGTTTGAATGAATAAATGAAAAATATTTTTTGTTATTTGGTTATTTTTTGAAAATTTTATATTTTTTAAAAATAATATTGATATAATTATTAAAATGTTAAAAATTACTTATTATTAAAATATATTAAAATTATTAATATGAAAACAATTATATTTTAATAATATAATATTAAAATGTTTGTTAATATAAAAAATATCTAAAATAAAACTATTTATTATTCTTTATATTATTTATTAATAATATTTATTAATATATTATATTAATAGTTTATTATTTATTCATATATTATTATAATATTTATTAATTAAATCAATAATATTTATAATTATATTATTTATTAATATATCAATATATAATAATATAATAATATTTATTATTATAATATTATTTATAAATAAAATTATACTCAAAAGTATTAATAAATAATTATACTCAGACAACTCTTTTTCGAAATTTTTTTTTTCCAAATCTGTAAGATAACCTTTTAAAAAGTATCTTATTTTTCATTGATTAATAAGTCACTTTTTATTAATTAATCAATTTTCTATTAAATAAACATCTAAAAATACAAAAATTATTTTTTAAAAATCATTTTTTGTAAAACAAACATCGATCATGTAGATTGGTCGATCGAACGAAGCAATGAAATCGATAATTTTTTAGGGTTTAAAACTAAAAAATTCCTTTGAAAAGTGAATGGTGCAGAAAATAAGGAACCTTACAATAAAATTATGGAAGGCATGTTGAAATTGAATCTCGTTGAGTTTTTTTAATAATGAAATAATAATTATTTTTTAATTATTCCTGCATGGACACGTACCAATTATTTAAATCTTTTCGAGGAACTACATCGGTTCCTTAATTCCAATGCAAATGTTGGAAAACGCGGGGATGAATCTACGCTTCCGGTCCACCAACCATATAAAGGGTGGGTAATGATTGAATAAAATTATTTTAAAAAACAATGTTACAAAGAAGAAAGGGTAGTAGAACTTGGAACAAGTTTAACGATCAAGCGGTAACATCAGGAATCCTCTCTGCTTGCACTTTTCTCGTTGTTCACATTGTTTACCATATTATAAACCCTAAACCCCAGATCTACTGAAGCTATAAATAATTAACAGAATATAATTGCTCTTCTCCCAATCCAATGGGATGGAAAAGTATGAATGTTTCCGTGGCCCATGTATAAACCTGCGTAAACAAGAGAAAAAGGTATTTTGTTAACGTTTTCCTTTTTCTTTTGTAGGACTTAAGCATGTAATGTGATCGAAGTACAAGCAAAGAGCTTAATTGATTGCCTTCATAGTTGGTTATCAAGTTTACTAGCATTCACACAGGAAAATGCTGGTTGTAGGTGTCATATGCTTATGTTTTCAGTTTTATTTTGTTAAAATAAGATATGAATCTGGACACCTTATTGTATCCGTTGATTTGCTAACTATAGCATTCATGAAACACTCACAAGAAATCTGACAAGTGAGGAATATGGTTTCCTCTTAAGAACAAGAGAGAGAAGAAAAAATAAATTAGACAGTGTGCAGGATATTCTCACCTGGCATCAAAACAACTTTCTAAAGACATGCCTCACCTCATTATAGGTCTATGGGGACCCTCAGACCGTCGCGTGCTAGTTGCACATGGATTCCTTCCCTACATACAGATAAGAAGAATAACATCTGATATCAGTTTCTTTTATTTTATTGATACTTTCTGAGAAATTCGGGTAAACTATACCATAAAATTTGTGAAGTAATTTGGAAATCAGTTTACCTCTCAGACCATTCCATAAGAAACTCATTGTCCTTGTGGTGATCAAACTCATGAGTCATTCCAATTAATAGAGCTTGTTTTGGATATATCCTCTTTAGAGCCTCAAGAGTCTGCAAAAATAAGTGGATGGAAAATGAGCACCTTGTGACGATCAAAATACTAACATGAAGAAAAATTATTGGAAAATTTAGAACAAACCTGTGGTAAGCATAAATGAACGTTATGGGATCCTTTCTACCATGCGGAAAACAGAAAAAACATTAGTTCTGATTAGAGGATATAGCAAGCATATCATTATTGAAAGGACAATCATAAATCATTAAATACGAAATAAATAACAGAAAGGAGTATTAATGTACAACTGCAGTGTACAAGTTCATCAAATGAATTTTAGTAAGAAATCTGTGGCCCAACCATGATCAGACTAAGCAGAGAAATTTACACTTCAAATGCACTAGAGTAAACTGTGTTAAATAATCATCTATGGTACCGAACTAGGATGTAAATCCCACATTACTTTGCCCTGTCAACTATATTAAATAATCATCTATGGTACCAAACTAGGATGTAAGAACATAAGACGAACAGCAGCACACAAATATATACAGATATACGTTATGGAAGAATCAACAAGGATCAAATTCAGTCTTTTGATTTCTCTACTTATAGCAGTTCTAGACAATTCACCAACAAAAAATGAAAGCAGGTAGTCAACAGTATAAAAATGAAAGAACCAAGGCAGTAACACACCTTGTATAAACAATCTAATATCAGAAGATCCAATTGTCCAGCACCATTTTTGGAAATAACTGTAAACCCAATATTCTGATCAAACACAATTCATTACATAATTTATTTTAACATCAAGAAAACTCAATTCACAGACAAATCATTCAGAAAAACAAGACTTGGAACACCAAAAACTTAGAAGTGAGAGAACATGTGTATTCTTTACACCAAGTCCCACTCAACATCAAGAGATCAGAGTAAACATTGTAAAGGGATGATCCATAAGCATCTTATCTTTTGCAATTTGAATCAAGTCATAGAGAAGTTTCTTAGTTTATGACCTGTGCAGGACAGCTCTCTCACTAAGTTTAAGACCTATAATCTGTTTGAGTAATACAAAAATGATTCGAGGATTAAAACTGCTTGAAGGATCCATTGAGGAGTAGGGATGTCAATGGGTGGGGTATGGGGAGGGTAGAGCATTCCCCATCCCCATCCCCGGATTTTTATATTATACTCATCCCCATACCCATACCCATACCCAATGGATATTTCAAATCTATCCCCATCCCCATCCCGTGGATATTTAATAGATATGGATAATCCATATATCCGTAGCTTTTTTAAAAAAAATAAAAACTAAAATTTATTTTTTTTAGCTTTTTTATTTTTATCTTGTATATTTAGGTAATTTTTTTTATAAATATATATATTAATATATATTTTTTCAATAAAAATATACTAATTTTAATTAATCTAAAATAATAATTTATATTATTTAATAAAAAATCTATTTACTAAATATATAAAAAAATATATGTAGGGCATGGGTATGAGCCCGAACCCAATAAAAATTTAAAATCATACCCATCCCCATCCCTATACTCATAACCCATCTCCATCCCTATTAGGATAAAAAGCCGAATTCCCCATTAGGTATGGGTAAGATTGACATCCCTATTGAGCAGTGAAGCAACCTTTATAGCAATAGATATATTTCCTTCAATTGTTAACACAAGGAAAATCCAATAAATATATATTCCTAAAATGCTAACATTGACAAGCTCCTCAAGATGACATGAAGTAGATAGAAGTCTCCTCTCCACATTTAACATCACCGATAAAATGAAAATATGTGTAAAAGGTGAAAATGCATGTGTGCCTACAAGAAAAGGAGCAAAAGCAGCACCTACCGTATTCTGTGTTTGAAGGAAAACGTGAGATATCAGAAATATAAGCCACTTTACAATTTTCACCAAAAAGAAAACCTAAACAGATATAATCTTCTCCATGCATCACCTGAATCAAAAGTATGATTAAGCACTTAGGCATAAATTATATGGCAGAGATGGTATATTATCTTAAGAGACAGCACACTAACTGGCAAAGGAATGAATTTTAGTCCTGATGCAACAAATGGTTTGTCATAATGCTCCTCAATTATCTTCCAGTCAAGCTGTGCCACCCGTCTTACTTCTTGGCCTTCTCTAAGTTTCTTCTGAACCAAGTATGGAAATTTTGTGGCAATGCTGTTCAGGGACAAACAAAATAAACATCAGCCAAGGTTGCTAGAGACAGCATAAAACCGCAACACATCCTTCTGCTACAACTTGTTTGGGAAATAAGCTTCAATTCTATTATCTGAAACCAAACTTTTGACTAGGCTACTTAAAGCATGTTAAAGCAAATAACCTCTCACATTATAAAAATATCTGAATGACATGTGACTTGATAATGTATCAGCATAACTAGCAATCTGTAGGCTACAAAAACAATACGCACAATGACCCCAAGAATAAAAAATTCATATTATACCTATCCATCGCATATTGAGTTAGGTAAATGGCAGTGGGATCAATATCGTTTGTAGGACTATGTGGCTGCACAGCACGTATATCATCCAGACCAAGAACTGCATCAGCATGTTCATGAGTCAAAATAATCTGCAGTTCATACAGAAATTAGTACTAGTTGCAATTCCACTCGTATACAGAAAGACGAGATTATAGTTAATAAAATGCACAAAGCCATTATATAAATCAACAAACTCGCTATAAATCCTATAAAATAATAGAACAGATAAAACCAAATATAAATGTTAACTGTTCTAATAAGATACTACAATACCAAAAAAAAAAAAAAAAAAAGAATTATGAGGAATAAATGTGGAAAAAAAATTAAACTCACCGAATCGATTCGAGGAATCTTGTGGAAAGTAAACCATCGAAGAACTTGCTCCCTAAATGTCTTCCCAACATCAATTATAATATAATTGTGCATACCATTGCTCGAACAGTAATCTATAAGCAAAGATGTATTGCACCTGAAAGAAAAAGATTCAAAATCAAAGCTAAAAAAAACCTAATTTTTTAAGAAACAAAACCGAAAATAATCACATTGTGCAAAAAAAAAAATGCACGGAAAAGTTCAGATCTGCGATATAAAAAAAATTTGTATGCACGATTAAATTTTAGAAAAAGAAGGGAAAAGGAGGTGACCTGTAATTAGGGTTATGCTCGGGAGATATAGAGAGGGATTGGGAGCATACGTGGCAGGGAGGATCGGAGGGCTGGATCAAGCACATTGCGTTGGGGACGGCACTGGAGCAGCCGGTTCCCAGGAAGATCAGAGCCGATCCATCACCATCACGATCACGATTGTCGGCGGCTAATAAATTACCATCAACATTATTTCCATTTTGAAGCGAATTTTGGTTCTTCATTTTTTGTTTTGGAAATCTGAGTTTGAGATACAGAGAGAGGAGGGTAGGGGCAGAGAGAAAGCGTTAAGGGTACCGGGAGGGAATTTTACGAAAGGTGGATGGCATTTATAGGGAAGATCTCGCCCGCGAATAGTAACGGGTCAGGACTTTGCACTATTGCCACGTGGCACTTATTCAGATACTTTTTTTTTCCTCTACTCTTACAAAAATTTACGATAGCAAATATATTTTTTCTTCATGCAATTTTAAGAAACTTTCATAACAAAAGTTTATGTGAAATATGATTAACGAAAATTTTTTTTATTAAAAATAACGAGAAAAATACAGAAATTTTATTATTTTCTAATTATTATCTTGAAACAAAATCAAATAATTTTTTTAAAAAAAAATTTGATAAGAAGATTGAAAATTCAAACTTCTTGAAAATTTGATTTCAGCTTTTAATCTCTAAGGACTCCTTGGGAAGAGAGGGGAAAAACTAGATAAGAATTTTTAAACAAAAAAAAAATGATAAAATTATTTCTTTTTCTTAACATCCACGAAACTATTTATGGGCATTTTCTTTTGTTACTAAATTTTAATGGGTTTTGATATTAGGCCGAAAAGAAACTTTAATGGGCTTAAAGCATACCCAAAGTTGTATGTATGGTTCTGATGCCATATTTCAAATTGTATTGCTGAGGGAGCTTTCTCTTTGAAGTTCAATGGCTTGAAAATGCTAGTCCCAAACTTTACTTCTTCTTCTTCTTCCTCTTCATTGGGCAGGGGGTGCATTGGGCTGGGTTTTAAGTGTATGGTAACAGCTTCCTATATTTTAATCCTTGTTTGACCAATTTCTTACATTAAAGCTTTAGAATTTTTATGAGTCAAGATTAATATTTCATTTTAAGAGCTGGTAATGAAGTTGGATACATGTACATCCTATGATGTCTAAATTAGAGCTGCTCAATTTAAACTTTGTTATGGTGTTTTTAGGAGTCTAAGCTTAAAAAGAATAAGACAAGGTTGAGGGGAAGATACCTTGAGCCTGTGGCTAAAAAACACGGTTAAAGGACATTAAAGTTGTTATTTTTGGGTTCACTCTAATGCTAAAGTCAGTGAAGTATTTCGAATAAGGAAAGGCGAGGAAGAATAAGAAAATGGTGAGGTGAAGAAGAAAATGATGAGGTGTGTGTGTGGAAAGCTTCAAAGAAGATAGAGTAAGGTATGAAGTATGCAAATGTCCTATCTACTTGTGTTTCTTTATCATTTTATGTATGAGATGAGGGTCAGTGATAAAGAGTAAAGTGATTGACAATTGATAATTGATAGTTGATGGGATAGATACGCGAAATTTGAGAAAGGTCCGTGTGAATAGATGTCAATCACATTTAATGTTTTCAAATAAATATGAATTGCATTTAATAATTTTAGATAAATTGAATGTCAAACAATTAGTTTCAAAATAATTGTTTTGACAAAATGTCGAAAAATATTAAATGAGTTATTCTTTTGACAAAAAACAAGTTATTTTTTTAAGAGCAGATGATATGATGTTTTAAGTGTATATTATCTAAGCGATCCAAAGATATAACTGTATTAACCAAACCTTAATTAGATTAACTGTTGATCAGATAATTTGGGCGTAACAAACTTAATGTATCATATCACAGAAATGATGAGAAGTGTCAAACACACTGATATGAACCATTTATAGCAAGTTCACTTTGAAAGCACATGCAGGAGCTGAAAAAAAAATGCTTGAAATTCAGGTTCAGTTTTATCCAAGAATAAAACTGAGTAAAGCAGGTTTGGTGCAGATAGAGCCAAGTGGTCATAATATATCTGAAATGACCACGGAATCACTCTGGAAAATCAGTGAAGCGTCTTGATTTTCGGAAGTTCATGAAATTCCTGCTGGATCAGCTCAGAGACGAATGTGAATCAGTTAAATTTGTGACCACAAGATCTGGTCCCTCCTAGATTTCGTTGTGAGAAGTACTCAAGCTTCTCACGAGGGATTCATCAGCGTTACAACTGGCCAACAATATTTCAGAGATTGCAGAGGATTTGGTTTTAAGGAAACTCATATTGTTCCACTCTTTACCTGTCACTGGTACATTATTAGTTGATGCAAATAAAGTTAATCATATTATGATTCTAACATATAGCACTTCGTCGTTTGCAACTACTCAATGAAGGCATCTCCTTGGTGAAAGGAGCCAAATAATCTGGAAAGATGAAAGGCAGAAATAAAAAAGGTGGAGGAACCTTGGTTCAAGAAAATGACGGGGCTTTGACTCGCACTTGCTTTATCAATTTGATTGGATAAATAATGAAAGGGGTATCTTATGTCGAAAACGCCCCATGTGAAACATGCCTGCTTCATGGCCGACCCATCCATCCGCCAAAAACTTTACTGTTTATTTTCTTTTTAGTGTATTAACGAAAATCTACTAAGATATATAAATTAAGATTTAAATTTAAATTTAAAAAATATTTTTATAAAATAAAATCATAAAATTTTCATACTATTATTGCAAGTTTGACGTGAATCTAACGGAAGACCTGATCTTTGGGATAAAAATCATAGTCCCTGGATCCAGAAAGATCTGAAATACCCTTTTCTCCCTCATCTTTTTCAAGGACAAACCAACCCCATCCCTATAATTTCATTCATCATCAATCCTATTTATTTGCAACAGGCTGCTTAGATCATATATTGGGAAGTTTACAATGAACCAAACCATGTCTAGATTCCTTTGAGGTCCCCGCATATTTCCCTTGTTATATTTAGATTCCTTTACCCTGTTAGCTGGGCCTGAGTGTCCTGTTTAGATTAGTACATTTTCCCGACTATTTTTTTTTCTCTTATTGCTAATTTGCCATTATATGTATGTACATTTTGTCATTGTAGCATCTTCACGTGCTAATTTACAACAGTTGTTTGGGTATCAACCTCATCATCCTGTATCAACCTTAAACAAGGTCCATATCTATGTTTCTACTTGCTTTGGAAAATTTTGCAACTGTTTTTTTTATTTGCAAATATCTTCGTTACATTAAATTAAAATATTATATTTACAAAGTTATCAAATATATTGACAATAATTTTTTAAATTTCATAAATAAAATTAATAAAATGATATATTTATTAAAATATATTAAAAATAAAAAATTAATTATAAAATTACATTCAAAATGTTCATTTTCTTATTTAGAATTTGTTTGGGACCCAACTGGTGTGATTCTCACCAAACTAATAACTAAAAAATGTAAAGTGTTGCTGACAATCATATGAGTTATTAAGAAAATATTAAAATTTTAATTTTAATAATCTTAAATGTTTTATTGAAAACATTTAAAATTAACCAATTTTTTTATCGTCCCTCTTGGGAGCAGAAAAAGATGTTGGTCATCAGACATGGTCTTTTCTTCTACGAGCTCAGATTTTGACATTTGATTTTTGTTTAAGTGAAAATTTATATTTAATTTAAGAGGTTTTATCTGTTTTGATTTAAAATTTTAACGATTTTATTTCATAATATATACTTTACAAATTTGAATTTAAACATTTATTTATATATCATAATAGATTTTTAAAATATCTTTAAGTAAAATTGGAGCATCAAGTTTTTAACTATTTTTCTTTGTTTTTCCCACAAATAATTTCAAACATTATTTGATGTAAAACCAAATTAATACCGCAGTATCACTATAATGAAACCATTTATTTCAAACATAATAACCTGGAAACACAAGCTCAGCTGGCTATGGAAAAAATTAGAGACAAGCATATTAAATCTCTGGGTTTTCTAGTTGATCAGGTAAATTCTATCATCTTTCTTTTGCTGATCAACAATTTAAAATCATGGTGAAAGCTGTTAGAAGCAGAAACAACTACTGTTCCTGGAATCCAATAAGCTTGAACTACTCAAACAGATTTTATTCATCTTTGCTCATTTCTTTCGGGGTTTCTGTTTGTTTGATTACTGAAATTTTGGTACATTATTTAAAGAAATCGATTGATTTGTTTTTCTCTAGCTATGATTACTAACATATCCCACTTTCACCTTCTCTTTTTTCTCCATTTGGCAACACGTTCAGGAAAACACCAGCACAATATTGAAATCAAATCGGTGTATTGTTGGTGAGTAAATTGGATTATTCTATAGATTAAGACATTCATATTGGTATCATCATTTTATGGGGTTATTCATTTTACCCTTGTTTTTTTTTTTCTTCAACATCAGACTGTGTTTTCGTGGTGATTAATAATTATGTTTTGTTTCAAGATTGATGATGACTTGTGTTGGAAAGTAGAGGTTTTTGAGGCAAAAAGCTTATGATTGCGATCAACTTAGAGCATGCATTGTCTGCTATTGTGGTATCAGCCATCCATTGCCTCACCTGACCCTTATAATTTTAATTTAATTGCATTTTTTTATCTAATCCAGGCTACATCAAGCGATATAGTTTAACCTTCAACCATTTCCACAAATAGACGCAATAATTAGAGAAATGATTTCTCCATAAAATTACTATAAACCCCCTAACGTAACTCTTTTGAAGCTCTTCTTTTTATTGTTTGGATTTGAATTTGTTCGAAGATTATGAAAAATAATTTTTTAAAATTCAGTTAATGTGACATAAATAAACCTGTGCAAATAGATCATGTGTATCAAACAAAATTTAAAATTTTTTTACTACTCAATCAGAAAAAAATTTCTCATTCTCAGACTTTCATATAAAAAAAATATTAAAAATTAATCGTTTAAGATGGTATGAACATATCCGGTCGACGTTGTTGCTTGAAATCAACAAAGCTTAACTGTTTGATAATACACAAACGTTAAACATTCGAATTTTCAAGAAAGATGAAATGATCAAAAGGGTCTAATGATAACCATCCAAATGGGTCATTATCTACCACGAATTCATAGTATCAACAACTTTTTTTTTGGTCCGTCAAAAATTTTGCTACTCACCTACAAATAATTTCCATGAAAACTGTCGTCTGCCATGCACGCTACCACGTTAGAGAAAGATTTTCCAGTGTTGTCATTGTTGGATTAATGGGCCAGGTAACTGCAAATGTCTAAATGCATTTGGCATTTTGGGGGAGTCAGATAACAAGAGTTATGTATGGTACATTTCAATAACGTGACACTTGAACGATCTGGTATTGATTAATGAAGCTAGCATTGCTCGACTGGTTTTGTTTGCTTCTCAATGATCTCATCAACTCTCTCTGTCATGTATTTTGGTTGGGTTAATGTCACTAATAGTTTAAAATCTTTGATATTTTATTTGAATTATAAATCTATCAATTAATATAATATTTTAAAAGTTGTTAGTTCATCACATATTATCATTTAAAATTTGTAACATTAATAGAGAGTACTATATTAATTAATAAATTTATAATTTAAGTATCACATTAAACATTTCATTATAATTTAAAAATCATTCATAACGCTAACCCTTTTATTTTAATTTTGCTGCATTTTCACACTTTTTTTGAAAGGGTTTTGGGGTCCCTTTGCTTCAATACATATGATTAGGTCTAATTTGGGCCATTTTCACACCTTTCTTTTTTTGGGGGTTGATGGTTCCCTAATCCCCCCATCAAGAGGAAGCTGAAAACCTAACAAAAAGATCAATTATGAATGTTCTTAAATTTTAGAAAAAGTTTGGGGTGGGATTAGTGTATATAATTGATCAATTATGTACCATGTTATTGCTTGTACAAGTTTACAAGTTTTTCATTCAAAACTCAAGACATAACTTTCTTATTGCTAGATTTTTGTTTTTATTTTTTAAAGCTTCCATCTTGATTTGCATTGTTCATTGGGTAAAAATATACAAAACTAAATCTTTATCATTAGGTAAAAGATGAAAAATTTTATATTTAATGATATCAAAGCAGATATCATCCCCCCTCTCTCTTAATTAGTTCATCATTTTGTTTTATTTATATTTTTTTATTGAACATTCTATTTTGCATAATTATTAGTAATTGTCTGATTTAATCTGTACAAGAAGAAATTACTGTAATTTGAATATATATATATATAAACTTAAGAATTTGCCTAAAACTTTGATTCTAAATAGCCATATTCAATTATATCTTTAATTAAGATTAATTTGTTTTTAATTATATTACATAATGGAAAATACTCTCTCAAGTCTCAACCACTATTTTTTTTTTTTTTTTGAAGTTACATTTATAATTAAGTATTATATTCATATAATCAATTATTAAATCATTAAATAATTAATTAATAAATTATAACTTAATTTAACAATTAAAAACACACCCACACAATGAGATTCGAACCTAAGATTTTAAAATTTTAGATTCTCCTTTTTACCACTAAGCCAAAGAACCATTGGCAAATCTCAGCCACTATTTCTCTTTTTATTTTTTTTTTTCCTTTCTCTCTATTAATTAATTTGATACTCTAACTTTTCAACACACACGAAGCATATAAAAATACTCCATCCATCTCATCTTAACTGTTCATTATTTTATTTTCATGCATATTTAAAAAAAAATTTACTTTTATATATTTAATATTATAAATTAAAATTGTATATAATATTGATAAACAATTTTTATATAAAAATTAAAAAAAGTAAGAGTATAAAATGTTTTAAAATAAAAAATAACTTCATTTTGAGACATTTTAAAAATAAGATAAATGCTTAAAATGGGACCAAAGAATAATCGTTTTCTCAATCATTTCAAAAATAGTGGTATGACTGTATATGCATATATGATATGATTGCTGGTAACCAAAAATATACTGTAGATATGAAAGATATAAAAATTTATAAAAAAAAAAGGCATTGAATGACATGATTTTTTTTTTAATTTTATTCCTTTTACTTCCAATCATTTCGTTCCCAATGATTTTAACGTTACATGGGGCAATCAAATATTGACAAAATAACTTTTGACATTGAATAAAAATTGTGGTTTTTTTTTTTTTTTTATTAATAAATTATGCTCCAACTTCAATCAATAATCCTTCATCCCCAAATTTGGTTTTATTAGGGAAAATAATAGTCCAAGACTCCAACTGCAAAGTCCAAATATTATTATGTTTGCTTTAATTTCTTTGATGTCGGTAAGCATATATTATTATAAAAAAAATTTAATGAACATACTTTGATTTTTAACAATCTCAAACATAGAATATATTTTATTTTTTTCTTTTATAAAAGCAAATTAAGAAAAAAAAAACTCACCTACCTAATAAATTTAAGTCACCCTTTTCCTTCTCCTTTATTTCTGGATCAAAATACAAAAGGTTACAACACAACAAAAAAAAAAAAAAAAGAAAAAAAAAAAAGGAAAAAAGTTAACATATAATGTCAATGTGGGACTCAAATACCACAAACAAAAGAAACAAACTTTACCAGGTAAAGCAGAAGTTGTGTGTACGTGTCAACTTTGATGATTCTCCGGTCCACCATATATTCCCTCGTCATCATCTTTCCTAGTCAAAATCATCTTTCTTAAAAACCACTTTAACCATAATTCAAGCGTCTTTTTCTTGCTAAAAGCCACTTTTCTTTTTATATATTTAAGTAATCTTTCTTGTTTGTAAAACCCAGAACTCAAATACCTTCATCTCTTTTTTTTTTTTTTTTTTTTATAAAAGCTTTTGCCATAGAATTGCTCTCCAAGTTAAATGGACAAGTCTTGGTGGATGTGCATGGGAATGTCAACTGCCCAACATCTCCCACGTCGAAAATCCGTGGAAAACACCATTTTTTCATTGAACCACGTCAACATGGTGATGGTTGATCATAACCTTGACATAGATGACTTTTCCGACGTCTTCGGTGGTCCACCTCGGAGCGTGCTATGCCGGAAGTTGTCCAGCGACGTCACCCAGTCGGCATCCTTTTATGAAGAGGTTTTCCGGCCACTGGAGCTCAGTTCGTCTCATTCGATGAAGGGTGGCCGGAGCTTGTCTGCATATAGGATTCCAGCAGGAGGGGAAGGATTCTACAGTGATATTTTCGGGTCGGACGATGATCTCCGGCTGTCCAGGGAACGCTCAAGGTCGAACTCGAAGGCAAAGTCCAAGTCGAATTCATCGTCGGTGCTTAGTTCGGAGGTACTGAGCCCTCTCCGACCGGTGGCCCGTGATGACGTCGGATTGTCGTCTTTTGCTTCAAAGCTCAGGTAATCAGTCTACTTTAACTTTAAGAAAAAAAAATATGTTTGACTGTTTTCAAGTTTCAACTGTTTTTGATTCTGTCGTGTTGATTTGACGTTTATGATCCTAACCTCTCTTCGGCCGGCATATTCTTTCTTCTCATGATAAAATTAGTGAAAATTTTATAGATTAATTTAATAAAAAATTTTAATTAATCAATAATTTATTAAAAATTATTAAAACTGTGGTTAATAATTTAAATTTAATGGGTTCAAAATTCTGTCAAAATTGTTAAAAAAATACATATAAAAAAATATATTAAATTTTATTAAATTTTTAAAAAATTTATATATTTGATTTATACAATAAAGTTTTTTAATTTATCAATTTTAAAAATAATGGATATTTTCACTCCTTTATATAATGGTCAATAATGTATTTTCATGTAAATTCATGGTTGATATTTAATGATTTTAAAATAAATATGAAAATAAATAAAATTTAATTAAAAATAAAAATGATTTAAATAAATATTAATAATAGATTTAAACAAAAGCACATTATTTACGCTTAAATAAAGTAAAACTTCTGCTACATTTTAAGTTGCGGATCCTTTCCTTTCTTTAATACATTTTAATAAAAGTTTTCAAAACTTCACTTAAACAGCATTATCTTAAGATTTTGCCTTTGGGGGTAAAAAAGTGAAAATTATTAAAACCCTGTCGTTAGTTTCCAACAATTACGTTAGGTTTTATCACCCAAAATCTTTATCAATTAGACAAATTTTGGTGGTGCAGGCCAATCAATGTTCCATGCAGATGGAACTCGACAACAATGGCGGCAGTTCAAGAACCAGCAAAGCAACAAGGGATGCCAGCATATCCAAGAACTCGTTCTTTCTATAACGAAAATTTTTACATGGAAAATCAATACAATGTCGACAACTTGACGAGAAGCTCATCATATCATGGTTTCTGTCGACGTGCCTGTTCCCCGGAAATCATTAGCTTGGAACCCCCTTCTTTTCGAAGTGTCAAAATATCAGCTGATGGTCTGGAGTTTAACTCCCCTTCATCCCCTGCCTCTTCACTTTGTCAAGAGCCTGAGGCTAGAGCTGGAGTCCGAAATGATTCAATGCAACAAGAAGAAGAAGAAGATGATGATGAAGATGAAGTTATGAGCTCTTATGTTATTGAGATCAATTCTGATCTTAGAGAGGGTACGGGTGAAGCAGTTTTAATTGATGAAGCAATTGCTTGGGCGAAGGAGAGCTACAATACTCAAAGTTCTGAAAGGGAACATGAAAAAGACCAGCCAATTGGAACAGAAGGTGAGATTGTAAATTTGAATTTGATCAGCAAAATTTTATTATGAAGCTCAATTGGCTGGATAAGTAACAGAGCTTTATATATGGTTTGCAGCCAGGTATAATGCAAATGAGTCCTTTGACCGGCGAATGGATGGCCATGGAACAATGCAACAATCTCCAATGGTAAAGAGTCTTTTGCCTTTTTCCTTTTCACAAGCAACACAATGTTGAGTAATATCTTTTCCTCAATTTGCAGGAAGAAGAACAGAAGAAATCGAAAGCAGAAGAAGAAAAGGAGAGATCAGAAGAACATGTAAGCTAGAACCTTGTTGTGATGTTTAAGTTTCACGACTCACTGGCCAGTTTGATTTTTTAGACAAATCAGGAACAGCATCTACTATATACATACATAAATACATACACAAATACATACACACACACACACATATTATATATATATATATATATATATTTCCAACATCTTAAATCTAGGCATAGTCATCATTGTAGCTTCTTTCTATTCATTAATTTATGAACAAGATTTGATCAATGTGTTGACATTTTCCTTTGATGCAAACTACAGATTAAAATGGGGGTTTTTGATGAAGATGTGAACCTTTGGTCATCTGGCAAGGAAAATAACATTCGATTGCTCCTTTCAACACTTCATCATGTAAGACATTATTAACCTTTTCCGTGTTCAAGGATTTCATTGATTTGCAGGCGACATACGAATGGATTTTTTTAATTGGTTTATTGAAAAATGAATTCAGATTCTGTGGCCCAATAGCGGCTGGCACATGACCCCTGTAACGAGCCTTATAGAAAGCTCACAAGTGAAAAAAGCTTACCAGAAAGCCAGGCTATGTCTTCACCCAGACAAACTGCAACAAAGAGGTGCAACACTATCACAAAAATATGTGGCAGCGAAGGCCTTTTCCATACTCCAGGTAAACTTTCTAGTGAATAGCCTTTTCTTGCATCTCTTCTGCACCATGAAAAAGTTTGCAGAAATCCAAAGAGGGTTTTCCCTTCCAATAAATTTTAAAAGAAGAAACAAAAGTGACTCATTGTGACCATAGTCTAAACCAAAGCTTTAATACGATGCTATATGATGTAGGATGCATGGGGTGCATTCATCTCCAAAGATGTCTTCTTCAACTAGTCGATGATGCAGGGAATTTTGGAACCTTTCTGGGAAGCTTGGAACAAACAAGGAGTCCTTGGACTCGAAGGATTGAGGGCACTGATAAAGGGTTAAAAAGCATGGGAATGTGCAAGAATTATCTGTAACTGTTAATTTGGTAGATATGGTAAGATGCAAGAATTTTGTATGCTTGTTTGATGATTTGCAAAGATGCCTACATTCTACTCCATCTGGACGACCCAGTAACCAGAAAATCAATCAAGAAGTTAGTATTTGAAATTAACTCTGGGTAGTAAAAGCAATTTGCAGGTTATAACTAACTATAGATATTGCAATTCAACATAATCCGATAATTCTAGTACACTGTCTTAGCCCAGAAATAGTAAAAGCAATTTGCAGGTTATAACTAAATATAAATACAGCAATTCAACATAATCTGATAATACTAGTGCACTGTCTTAGCCCAGAAACTATCATTTACAAAAAAGTAATTAAAAACTTTGTAACAGTTGAAAACATGAGGGCAGATTTCAACTCACCTTGAAGGAACAATGATTAAAACACTAAGCAAAACCGCTGGCACCATGAATTGGTAAAAGTTGATAGTCTTATCAACTATGCCACTTGTTTCTTGTAATTACTCTTTGAGTGAGGTCTACTAGCGCCCGCCTTGACTTTCTTACGTTCTCATCATTGCTCTCCAGTAGAGAACCAATTGCTGTCGCAGCAAGGTTAGCATGCTTCATTGCTAGCTCTCTTGTCCTCTGTATTCCATTACTCTTCCCAAGGTACTCAAGGGCCTATATGTTTAAGATACAGATCAACTAAAGTGAGTTTGACAAAATAAAGGTTCATATAGATGCACAAACATAGTTAAATGTAAAAAGCACAAGTTTAATGACTCTGCAAGTCAAATTTGTAACCAAGTAAAAAAGTTAAAAGGATGGTGGTCGCTTAAAACCACACAAGTTATATACTCTCTTCATCATTGATCGTGTGAAGACTAAAAGAATACCTTAAGAAGGAAAAGTTGGTAAATTCATAAATTGTATACAGAGACCAAAGCAACATAGAAATAGAAGATTAACATCAGCAAACACATATAATGCTTAAAATGTAAATTACTTATACTTACAATGTCAATGTTTTCAGGGTTGTCAAAACCTTGATAAACACCAGCATGTAACTGGGGAAATTCTTCCATGGCAAACAATATTGGAGCTGTTACAATTCCCTGCAACACCGGATGATTGTGATGAACTGATGTATTCATCATTATGTATGCCATTTAAAAGCATCTTGTTAACCTAGTATAAACTAAAAAGAAAGCCCTTGTGAAAAGTCAGTAAGAAAAACTTGGCCAAAAAATAAAAGTAAGGTTCTTCCTTTGTACACTTTAGAGAGTAGACAACTGAAAAGAAAACAAAAAAAAGTAGTTGACAAGGGAGTTTGAATAGATTATATAGAAGAACTATTATACAACTCTGCCTGCCTATGTGGATTACAATTATATGCTTCCATAAGCTATTACTAGCTTACAGACATTTAACATTTGCTTAAGACATCAAAGATAGAAAATTACATGCTGGATGTCAGATAGAGAACCCTTTCCAAGGGATGCTGATGTGCCTGTGAAATCAAGAACATCATCTATCAATTGAAATGTCAATCCCTAGAAAAGGCAATAGAAAAAATAGATAGTTAGACCAAACAACAACACATAAAATAGAACAATGTAGTCGATGTAACATGGATAAAAGACATCAAATATTATGCTGATTGTTCTACAGCTTACAGCTAAGAATACTTAAATCTCAGTTGCTCCATAATCACTCCACAAGTTTTATTAAATATATGGTATTCTATGGCTTTAAAATTATCCAGTATTACACTTTTGCACAAAGTGACAACTTCACATTTGGTGAACCATGTTGTAATCAGAAGCAAGTTGGCACTTGCAACAAAAACCATTGAGCCACAACCATCCATTCTGACTTAGAAAATCAATCAAATAGTATCAAGTAAACAAAGGTTTATTATGCAAAAGAGGACAATAAAAATGTGAATGAGTTGTTATAGGATTAGTCTATCTTCAGATCTATTTATTTGCTTGTCCTCTTAGCTGGCCATATCTGAAACTAGCATAACAGGTCATATCAAATTTTATGGCGCTTCTCTTCATTCCAAAGGCAACTTCTAAACTAATTTACTTATTAATTAGTTTAGGAGTTAGGGTTTTATATTTATAGAGAAGAAGAAAGGAGTTAGGGCTTTATAATGATTATCATATTAACACCAATTTTCTATCACCTAAACAGGGTTCTAATCACTTAGAGGTTTTGCAGGGCCAAGGTTCATTCAAGTCTATTTCTTAGGGAAACATGTGCTCTAATCTTAAAAAATATCCCCCAACAGATCTTGCAATTTATGATGAGTTCAAGATAAGAAAAAAATAAACAAAATTACAAACCAGATTATGCCATAGTCAAAGGCCAACATTGCAACTTCAGCACTTTGCCCAGCAAGAAGTGCAATTGCCTTGCAACTGTTTGAAATCAAGGAAGCAGTCGTGTAGTATGTCTTTTGCAGGTAATATTCCATGCTGCATCATGAAAAATTATTCTCACTTCAGTTAACTACAAGCAATTATCCTTAAAATTCAAATCAGGACAAGACAGAGTTAACCATTGGCAATCATTAGCATGGAAACGCATAATAAGACACACAAATAATCTATAGAATGCTGCTTACAAAATCCATAACAATCTATAGCTTAGAAACTAGGTGTTATCTACAAATATAAACAGCTTGTACTGAAAGATAACCACTGAGTCAACAAAGTTAGTACCATTTACAGGTTACCATGCAAACATGTGGCTAATGAGAGAAAATTTCTAAAATGTTCAAGTTGCCAAGCAGTAGCATTAGACTACAATAAGCTGTAACTATCATTAATTTAATAACTCAAGAAAAGATCAGCATAAACATATGAAATCATTTATAACTCCATTTTCTATACACCAAATCTGAAATTTTATCTCCACTGGTGGGATTAAGAGACTGACAAGTGTATTCTTTTTCATTATATTAATTTTTTAATTATTTTTAGTATGCCCTACAGGGGTATGTGTCACTCTGCTAATCCCACTGGTGGAGTTTAAAACTCCAGTAGTGGTGGATGAGATAACTTTCCATCATATATACATGCTAATCATGTATCTAGCCCGCCACTACCGTGATGGCTATCACAGGGCCTACACCTTGCTGGACATCCAAGTGTTTAAATCAAAAGCAGTTAGAAAGTGGCAAAACATGGTGATGATATGAAGAAATATTGCTGCAGAGTTGTAGACCAGTATACCTACAACGTTGTTCAGATGAAGTGGTCATTTGCATGGTTTCACCAGTAACCAGATGCTCCACAACTGTTGCTAGTAATGATACAACCTACAGCCATATATGCAACTAATTTTCAATATATAGTTACATTGGCCAAATTCATCACACAAATGATGCAATAATAATAAAAAATTAGAAGCACCTCGTGTTTTTTAAAGCAGCAAGGGCCACACAAGCTCGAGAAAGCAGAAAATCTCCAGCTAATACAGCCAACTGCATCATAAACAAGCAGTAAAAGTTTAGCAATTACTTAGGCCACAAACTTCTTCTGCCTGCTGCAAGAGAACTAGAAAAGAAGAGTACCTTATTGCCCATTACAGCATTCAATGAACCAATACCACGTCTTTTATCTGCATCATCCAAGATATCATCATGGAGGAGGCTTGCAACCTAGATGAGGGAATGATTGTATTAGACTAAAGGGAGTTGTGAAGAAGCTTCAGTACATACAACACATATGATAAACGAAACTTAAAAAAAGAGGAACTGACATGGATCATCTCTGTGATCTCAGCTATAGACTGCTATCTTGTACGTAAATCAGTTTTCAAGGTATCTCCTACACCACCAACAGTTGGGTCAGGTATATGAACATTCAAAGCTGTAGCGATCAAAAGCAAAACCAGCATGGAACATATACAATAACCATTTTAGAAAGTAATCATAATTATAATTTCAAAACGAGGTTAGTCTGAGAATGGTTTATAATTTCCCAGATGAAAAGTAACAGAGATTAAGTTTACACCTCAGTCAAGTGGTTTTTTTGGAATGAGTCAAGAACAAAACTGTGCCTATGGCATGCTACAAGGGTAGTTCATCTAAAAATTTTTGGATGGTCCCCTTGCCTATTGCAACCTAGAAGCAATAACTGAGCCCACGGTAAAAACACCAATTGCCATAACCCATCAAAATTACGAAAAACTGCAATAAGAAGACGAGGAACCTCAAGGTTACCATATGGGAAAGAATACATTACCGTAGGACGAAATCTCTTTCCTTCCACCTCCATTTTGAAGAAGTACTCAGCAGCTGAAGCAAGTTTTAGAACCTGTATGAGATGAATATGCAATTTTCATCACGTTATTGCTTTCTCACATAAGGAAATGTAATAAATTTCATTCAGAGACATGAAAAAGAACAGTGGGATACCTCAGCAACAACCATACTCCGCAACCTATTACCGACAAGTGAAAAAGGGTCAAGTTGTTCCTGAAGGAAATGTCTTGCCCTCTCAATATTAAAGACAAGATAAAATAAGGGTGAAAAGGAGGAGAGAGAGAAAGAGGGGAGATAAACAAACTAGTAGCTCTTAGAGATCATGGGAACCAACAATTAACAATAACAAACAATACACATGGGAAAGCAATCAACTTATGGCTGAAGTTGTAGAACTTGTTTCATCTTTTAACATTAAAAATGTTAACACACTTGTGGATTACTTTGTAGAAACTAACTATAGAAATTCTGTTCCCTGGGCAACCATGTCTCTTGTCCTATATGGAGAAATTAAACAAAGGTAAAAAAAAAAAAAAAACTCAGAAATTTAGGAGAATGAATAATGAAATGATAACCTCTACTAGGTAGCTGCTCTGATGAATTTGCCGTCCAAGGCCAAGCAATGAAGGCAAACTCCAAGATAAAGATTTTTTACCACCACAAACCTACTAATCCCCAGACACAATAACAACAAAAAAGATAAATGATCAGTACATACAAGATTTACAATCACTCTTTCCTATCACATACATTTCATTAAAAAAAAAATTGGGCTAAAGAAAGAAAGAAAGAAAGAGAGATTGTAAAATATCTATCGACTATTATCATACAAAAATCCATGAACATAGCTATAGTCCTTTCCCAGGCATCTTCTTGGCGGCTCATTTGATTCAGTCATCATATAACCCGTTGGACAATGGTGATTCTTATCAATCTACAAATTCACTTCACCAACTTTACTTTGACTAAAAGAAGTAGCTTTGACCACCGAATTAATTCATGCCGGGCATAGTCACAACACCGTTCACCGTTGCATTTCAATTGTGCACCCAAAACTTGCTTTTAAGGACTTAAAAAAAACCCAAGGCAAGGATAAAGCAATAAAGCAACAAACAAACACAACCCAACAGAAAAAAAAAAATGTGCCCTTTTATCAAACAGAATGCCTGAACCATTTCCCAGTTAGCTTTACCAACGGAGAAGAAATAGATGAACTCTTACTAATGAAAAAAAAAAATGAACAATAAACAAAAACCCAGAAAAATTTTTAAAAAATGGAAAGAAATCTTTAAAACAACTAAAAAATTAAGGGGAACTGAGACTCACATTTTTTTTTCCTGCGTTTTAAGAGCTAAGGAAAAAGAAAAGATAAGAATCAAGGCATTACCTTTATAGTAGAGTAAAGATATTGATTAGAAGGAAGGGATTGAGAAGGGTCAGTTGAACGAGAGAGAATGAAACCAAACAAGCTCTTTCTGGGAGTTGTAGAAATCCGAGAAAATCCCCGACAAAACAACATCCTCACCTCTCTCTCAGTCTCTCTCTAAATACTACTTTAGCAGTAATCCAAGCAGAAGAAAAACCCAGAAAAATGAACAATTTTTTATTCAGAGAAAATCTTTGGTTATGATCAGAAGCAGCCAAACCAACTTTGGTTAATGTGTGCAGAAAGCATAAGTCTACACACGAATTAAAACAACTCTTTTTTTTTTTTTTTAAATTTTCTGGAATGACGAAGCGCAGCTTTAGCCAGGAGCCACGTGAAGAAAAAAACCTTTGGCTGCTTTTATCTTATTATTATACTAGCTCTTGACTCACGAATTAATTTTATTTATTTAAATATTTATAAATACATAAATTAATATTATTTAGTTTACATTTTTAAAGCATATATAAAATACATATAACAGTTAAGTTATAATATGATCATCGTTTTGATTTATAGAGATTGAATTATTGTCATTTTTGAATTAAAAAATTAAAAAATTTTAATAATAATAGTAATTACTATATTCTTTTTTTATATATTTTTACTGGCTAATTTTCATTTAAAATAAAAATAACATAAACATGTTAAATAAAAATTTTAAAAAATTTTATTTGTCTAAAAAGAATAAAAAATAGTATAATTCATAACTTGTTAATTTAATAGGAATATCCACAAGTGCCTACTTATCTCACAAGCCTTAGTACAATATCACACCAGAAGTATTTATTAGGATACTGCATGCATTGGTTCAATTAAACCTCAAACAACTTCAATTAATACCAGTGGCATTAACTTCTTCCTCCGGAAATGAAATTTTTTGCAAGAAACCAAATCGAACAATGACATAATACCAAGAAAGAGCCCTAATTGACACCTAAATAATCATATCATCAATAAATTTAACCACTTAATCTTTTCATCCAATACTTCAGCTACATACTTTCTTAATTTTCCACTCTCAAAGAATTGCAAAAATTAATGTTGAATTAAGTATGTTAAGTGTAAAATCTTGGCTAAAGCAGCACTAAAGCTATCAACTTTGATCTAAGTTCTATCCAAGATCAATCATTCTGGTTTAACTAAAACTTAATCTAAGTTTCAATTATATTGACATTAAAAAAAGAACGTCTTTTCATTAAACAGAGACCCTTTAACAAAATTATTTATTCAATTCATCAACATGTACAATATGGTACAACTGTAAACTGTCAGAAGATCAAATGCTAAACTGAAAAGAATCACCTGATTCAAGACTTTAAATCACATCAAAACCAAACTTAAAACAACCAACAAATTAGATGAAAAAAAAAACCAATTTTACCTGGGACAAAATGATGAAAATTTTTTTCTAATTTAAAGATATAAATTGAATAATACTTAAAAATATAATAAAATATAAATTAATTAAATTATCATTCATTATTAAAAATATATAATTTTATTTTTACTTTAATTATTTTATCATTTATATTTGAATATATGTATTTTATGAAAAAAAATTTATATTACAATATTAAAAAAATAATAATTTTTTGTTATTTAAATAATTTGATTCAAAAAGTAAAAATTGTAAATCCCGTAAATAATTGTCTTGAAAAGTCTCATAAAAAAAAAACTTTTCATCTCCATCTCAATATTAAATTATTAATATAAGATGATAAATTTTAATAACAAAGTAGATATACTTATCATCTTATAAAGATTAATATTTTCAATAAATAAAGCAAGCGATATTATATTTTCTTCGTAGTTTACTTTTTTACTTGTATCACATTGGAGTACCCCCAATTCAATCATTTCACTATTGTATTTCATTGATACAACAGTTAACAATGCATATCAAATAAAGAAAGCTCACATAAAATTATTTTACTATTTTCATTATAAAAATCAAAAGAACTTTAAGTTTTAATGTCAAAACGAACATACCTCAATTTAATTAAACAAAATGTAATATTTAAATATTATTATTATAATTTTTATTAATTTTTATCTTATCTGCTTAATGAAATGCTTGATTTTAAAGTTTCAATTCCCCTAATTTAATATAAGATTTATTGTTTCTGAAAGCAAGTTATAAAAAAAAATCATTGCAGCGCACAAATCTCTCAAACCAATTGTAAAACTATAATTATTGATCAAGTATAACAAAATTGATAAGAAAATTTTTGTCGTATGCTTGCAATGAAAACCTTACATCCATGCTGCTGCTTTCAGGCAGAGAATCAATGGCTGCAGCAGCAAGATTAGCATGCTTTGTTGCTAGCTCTCTCGTCCTTTGTATTCCATGGCTTTTCCATAGGTACTCAAGAGCCTGTGTTCTCAAAATCATAGTATAAAATTTGACAAAAGTAAATGCATATTCACCAGTTTGCTTTAAGTGGCATCAGGTTGTAAATTCAAACTTACAGTATCGACATTGGCAGGGTTGTTGAAGCCCTGCTCAATGACAGCTTGCAACTGAGGAAACTCTTCCATGGCAAATAATATAGGAGCAGTTATGATTCCCTGCAAAAATATATACTATATGATAAATTATGCAAACATGATTCTGGCAGGCAAAAAAAACCAAATACATTCATCAATGGATGCACTATGAAAAAGGGTTTCGACAAAATGGAATGATCTCCACACATGGTTGTTTATATTCCTTCCAAACCAAACTCAGAAGGCTTAAACGAACAAGCAAAGATGATTAATGGTTGAATCAGGAATTTAGTTAAGTTAGTTCATGCAGTCACTCTTAAAAGGTGGCATCCCCAAGTTTAGGGTTCAAATCTCAGCACCAGTAATCTCTCTCTTCTTTTATTCCGGGCTGTGGCCTCCTTTGTACAAAAGAAAATGATTAACGGCTGCTTGAGTTGTCAAAATACAGATGCAGAGCCTAATAAGGCTAAAAATGTTTATGTTTAAAGCTTTTAAGCCTATGACAATCTAATATTTTCAGGAACTGAGAGATAGCACAGTAAGGGAAGATGAATTACCTGCCGTATGTCAGATAAAGAACCCTTTCCAAGGGAAGCTGATGTGCCTGTGAAATCGAGAATATCGTCTATGAATTGATATGCCAATCCCTGGGAAAGGAATTTAAAGAATCAGGAGATGGTGAACCAAAAAAAAAATGCATGCTGTAAAACATGAATCTTGGTAAACATAGTAAGATGACAGAATTTTTTGTTAAAGGAATATTGGCCATAAACTAAAGAAGATTCCATTATTGTGCCACTTATAATAAATTTCTTATCGGGTAAGATGATGAGTTTAGGAAATTTACAAACCAAATTTTTGCCATATTCAAAAGCCAACATTGCAACTCCAGGTGTTTGGTCGGATAGAAGGGCAATAGCCTTGCAGCTGTTCGAGATCAATGATGCAGTTTTGTAATATGTCTTTTGCATATAATACTCCATGCTGCTATGAATCAAATGTAGATGTGAACAAAATTATAATTATTATGCACAAATAAATACACACATGAAGGTGTAAGCGGGGTGCTCTGCATGCCAACCATTTATTCATACATAGCTACAAGTTTCCCGGAAGGTCTGTATGTGTAAATTTAAGCCACATTTGCAACCCAAAAGAAAAGGCCAAAGAATGGCACAGATTCAAATAAATGTTGGAAAACACCAAACTACAAAGCATCCTAACGTTCTTTAAAATGACATACATTAATTTGGTTGTGAGTCACTGATGCAGCCATTCATTTAACAATGGTTGAACCATTATATTGTTAAGTAAAATTTAAGCCTTTTGCAAGGACAAGATTTATCAAGTTCTACAAACCTGATGGATGATAACTCACTGCGACTTTTGTGCAATTTAGCCAGTTTAATCTACAGCAGACAACTAGCCAAACAGGTTTTCTTTGGCTGTCTGAGCCAAGTCAAGGGCAAGCATATCCACAATATTTTTCTCTTTAATCACAGGTATGGTTTAATTTGCAGGGATAAGCACAGAAGTGGGGCAAAAAAACAATCATACCTACAGTGCTGCTCAATTGTTGCTGCCATTTGCATGGTTTCACCAGTAACAAGATTCTCTACTGCTGTTACTAGTAGCGATACAACCTGCAGCACATATAATGGTTTGAAACATAATGTGAACAACTAGATGAATGCCCACGATTTCTACAAATTAATACAATATCAGAATCAATGGACAATAGACAGTAATAATGATGTAAAAGAATCAGATACTCTTACAAGGCCATATTTAAGTTTGGCTGTCTAATGAAGTGTCGGTGTGTACTGTCAGTTTTACACCACATAATTAGCCTTGGGCAGCAGACCAAAAAATGTATACAAACAAAGCGGAGCAATTGCAGCCTACAATATGGCCACTATGCATAAGAAGATACAAAGGCAGGAAGGGCCAACCACGAATAAGAAGATACACAGCTGAAGAATTGATTCAAAAAAAGACATTGGATGTCACAGCATTTTCTCGACATCAAATGTCATTGGTCAAAGCATTGAAGAAGGCTTCTACTTCAATCCATTCCCATAAAGAGGAAAATCAAGGATTAGGTTTTAGAAGACCGTATTTTCCTCCCTCAAAATCATACATTTGCATATATAACCATCTTTAAATACATATATGCAGATAGATTATATGTAAACACATACCACTGTATTTTTTAAGGAAGCAAGTGCCCCTAAAGCTCGAAAAAGCAGAAAATCTCCTGCTAACACTGCTAACTGCATCATATAGATAAATAAACATGAATGAATAGTAAAATAATAATTGCATTTCAATTAACATAAGATGTTTTTATTTTGTTGTCAATTTGCAAAGGTTTATTAGAATTGGGATCAATATCTGATGCCTATATTAGTATCTCCCTGCCTGAAAAACTCAATAAGATGACTAGGTGCACATTTTTCCCCTAGATCTAGATCAACCAGTTAACCTCTAAAAGAATGTCAAGGGTACAAAGCCATGCTGTCAAAGCTTTGCTGTGGAACCAAGCAAGGGCTAGAGTGGAACAGTTAAGTAGAGCAGTAGAATTCACCTATTCTTAGAACTACATCACAGACCTACACCCTTACAAATTGCATTATTCTTATGCCAACTACTAGTGTCGTTCACCTTCAAATACTGTATTAAGACATGCTTATTTGCGAAGAGTACCATAAGAAATTTTGTTCCATAAATCAGGTAGAATTTTCAACCTAGAAGTTTATCAATGACTTGTATAAATCGAAAAATTATAAAAGAAGTGTATAGTCACCTTATTTCCAACCACAGAATTTAATGAACCAATACCACGTCTTGTATCTGCATCATCCAAGACATCATCATGAATAAGGCTAGCCACCTAAGATCACAAGATTATTAAATTAGTCTACCAATGGATATTAAAAATGTTTCTTGACATGGGAGCAACTACCATAGCAAAAATCAGAATTTTGTGAAGAACTAACATGGATCATCTCGGTTATTTCAGCAATAAGTTGCTGTCTCCTACGCAGTTCAATTATTCTCAATGTATTTCCAATGCAATTTAAAGGTGACTCAGATCTATGTATATCCATAGCCGTAGCCATCAACAACAAGACCTGCATAAAACTTTCCTTTTTAGCTCATTGAAAGGCAGTAGAACACAAATAGAAGGGTTGGAAGCAAATGTCAAATGACCAAGGGAGATGCACCTCGAGGTGGGAACCTCAAATACCGGACATCTCTCAATTTCTTTAGGTTGGAGATAAAGGAACAAAATAATGAACGTTGTTTATAACTATATGCAGTACAGTTTAATTATAAGTTAAGTATGAAGAATCTAACCATGTAAATGAGACGCACAGAAAGGCTATATATTATGACAGCATCATAGCTCAAGGGTGGAAGGTTTCCTCTAGCAACTAGAAGAAGCATCAATGGAACTGACAATCAAGGAAATGATTGCTATAGGTTTCTAAAACCATATTGAACCACAGCAACATAAAAAAAATAGCATTATTCTAATTACCGTGGAACATGTCCTCTTTCCTTCAACCCCCTCTTTGAATAAATATCCAGCAGCTGAGGCAAGCTCAGGGACCTAGATGACATAGGAATCCAAGTTTTAATTGTAACAAGTCATTGCTTTCTTTTACCCCGTCCGAGCATATCTACATATGAGACAGCCAAAAGACGAGAAATAACAATCAAATACCTTAGCAACTGCAGATGAACGCAATCTCTTTGAAACAAGTGAGATTTCATCAGCAACAAGTGAAAATGGGTCCACCTTTTCCTGTAAAAGAGCATCTCCCTATAGGAAGAGAAAAAGATAGAATAGTTAAACAAAACCTACCCAGAAAAGAGAAAGCAAAAGAATTTCTCTGGCCTTAATTTTTAATCTTTAAATGAGCTGATTGATGTTCTTGAAAATAATTTTCCACTAATTGACACCCAAAAAACTTTTTATTAAACACCCTGAAGATAGATTAATTGACTCTTTAAATTATAAATCACAATGGCACCTTCCACTCTAACATAGAACCCGTTTCACACATAATAATTAACAAAATAAAATTGAAATGACATGCTCAAACCAATTAATCAGTTGCTGCTATAGAAAACAAAGAAGATCAAAGCTTTTGAAAGTACCTTTGGGTTAGAATCAGTGGAAGATAGACAGCTAGTGCTAAAGACAAGAGATTGGCAGTGTTGAGGGCAGCCAAACAAGGTTTTTCTGGGAGTCCCTGAAATCCTAGTAATTACCCGAGAAAAAAGAACCGTCATCTCCCTGATATAGGAACGTTAAACTCTTGGAGAAACACAGGATAACGTTTTTCCTTATCAAAGTCCTTTATCTGGTTATGGTATCTTTGTCTGATTAACTGATTGCCTTTTTCGGTCAAAGAGGACAAAACTATAAGGGCCTTTTGTTTTCTCCTTCCCGGAAATTGTAAAGAATTCATTTATGCTTCACTATCGAAATAAAATATATATATATATATATATATTCCAACAGTGATGTTAAAAATGAAAAACTGCATATCGATTTCTTATTGCAAGTTCCATTAGGCCATTCCACTCAAACCTTAGGCCTTGATCTCTTAATTGCATAATCATATGAAACTTTTCCATATGTGATACGTGGGTTGAGTAAAAAACGGTAAATAAAATAAAATAAAGTAAAACATAGTACGTCACTCCCATTTCAATATCTTACAGCTCTGGTCTTTTATTTACGGTGCATTGAATGAAATTGCCCAATTTACATATGAAACAAGGACCCAAAAGAAACAGAAGAAAATCACATATCATCAACTATTGCCTCCTTGTCTCAGCAACCTTTTAAACTGTTCATCAGTACTCTTTTGCAGGTTAGCCAAAGGCAATTTAACCCCACTTTTCATGACTTCAATGTGGCTTGGTTTTATCCTCTTCTCCAAACTAAAAGCAAAGAACTGAGGAAACTCCTTCAACTCCTCCAACTTTCCATTCATCTCCTCGTTAAAGTACTCAAATTTTGGCTTGTAGTTGTTTTCTATGCTGAAAGTGAACAACCCTGGACACCTCAACGCCATGCTTTTAGCCTCATTACTTGAAAACCCTATACTTACCAAGAACTTCAGTTTAGGTATCAAGGTATGTTCAACACTAGAAACCAACAATATAGGATCTTGATAAGCCAAAGCTTCTAAATGTTTAAATCCAAGCCTTTTAAGATAGAACAAAGCTGGTTTTAGCCGGTCTCTGACACTCGAAGTAAGTAATCTTGGACACTTACTAATGAACTTTCTATGTTTTCAGGGACATTAAGGTATTGGGAGAGGAAACTGAAAACTGGGTTGTTAGAGGTTAAGATTTTGGGGCACATACCAAAGATTCTTAGGAAGTCCTTTTGGTGAATGCCTTTCGATTGGAGGAAGGAAATTATGGAATGGAGTGAATCAAGGAAAGTGATGTGAAGACAAGGGTTAAGAGAGAGCACTTTACCCAAGTCAATGGCCATGATTTCAGGGCTTAAAATTTTCTCTTTGATTTGAAGGGACAGATTATGATGAGTTGACGAGTAGAGTTGGTGTTCATGGAGGAGGCTTTTAGGTTTTGCTGGTAAAAGGTTGTTTGCTTCTTGGGAATTTGTAGGGGAAAATGCGGGTTTATTAGAAGAGATGCATAGAGAAGATTGTAATGCAGTTGCTCAGACGGTCGAGAAACAGAGAGAGATAGGCTCCTTGTCCGAAAACTAATCTTATTGGTCTTATCTGTATGTTATTTGACAATGACACGTTGAGATTGAGTAGAAAATGATTGGCTAGAGTCAGATTTGTTTTAGATGACTTGGGTGGCCCAGTTCTTGATACGGGCCACCCCACTCCTGCGTGTAATCGCTAATTCCCCACCTCTTTTAATGGTGTTATATCAACATCATGTCCTCCTAAAAAACATGCTTCAAAAGGCAGCTAAGCCTGGTCGAGCCAACTTAATTTACAATATACTCGTATCTATTAAAGACACCAAAACCCAGAAGCAAATAATAATGATAATAATAACTCTTTTTGTCCTCACATTGTCCTAAATTTGCATTCACCATGTATTTCAATCCAGAATCAACATCAAAGACTTTATAAAACAAAATTCAAACTATCAGAAGAATATTTGTAGTCCATTGGCTACTCTCCCTTTCCCAGCTGCTGAACTTACAAATGCATTGCGCAAGAAAAACAGAACTGCAAAAAGAATTGCCCAGGAAAAAAAGTGGAACAAAATACACTTCATTACTAGAATTAGGAGTAAAAAACTCAAGACAACCATCCAGTATGCCACATGATAGCATTATTAGCAGACACCGAACCAAATGCATAATGACTATGTTATGTATCCATCATTTATCAACAAAACCAAAATTCTCCGTCTTATTAGCAGTGTCATCACAATTTCCAAAACATGAAATTAGAATCCCAAATGAAAATTGTAGAACTAGTGACATTTGTTCTCAACAGCAATGTTAACTTACATCAGTGATCAAGTGAATAATAATAATATTCATAATAGTCAGAAGAACCTGCTTAAAGATAGCAAAAACATAATTTATGCAGTATAGACAAGTATCTCACTCGAATAATACAAATTACTTTACCGTGAAACAAGGTTTTAATAAGATCGGAGTAAGAATTGACATAACTTTCCCTGGCAACAATTCCAATAGCAACTACTGAAAAAGCTTCCAATTTGCTCCAATCATTGAATGCTATACCTTCCTACATGACATTGGCATATGTGGACTTCATAATTACATTGCTGCATGCTTAAAGCAAACTGTTGCTACAGTAGAGCAGATTCTGTCAAGGAGACAATCATATTTGCAGCATAAGGTTTGTATGTCTAAATTACTTGTTTTACTGCTTGTCTTGTTGAGAAAAGCACAGATGTCTGTTCTAACTTGTAAAATCATGCTTTCTTCAGATTATAAAATCATGACTATGTTGGCACATATGATTGAAGATATCTCAATGTAATCATTCTTTTTGGAATTTTAAAGAAGGTTACATTCATTGTTAACAGTTGCAGGTATTTAACTTTAGGATGCCAATTAAACTTGTAATTGTAACATACATCTTTTTTCATTTTTCCTTGGAGTTCAAAAGAAGGTTGCATTTGTAGCTATATTTAACTCTGGGAGATTAAATGTATAATGCTAATACATATTTCTATCTTTTCATAATTTATTGTTGCACTCTTAGGTTTGGCCATGATTAACAAATTTTTTCTTTAATAATAGGCATTAATAACCTAAAATTGGTAATTTTTTTACAAAACTCCAGCTCCAAATCACCTATTTCATTTAGTTGTCATTTAGAAAATCAAAAAGTTTCTCCATGCATCTAGACTCTCTAATTAAATCACAATTCTCATTACAGCAATGAAGTATAATCAGATTGATAGTCAAGATCCTCCTTTCAAACAATAAAATAAATGTAAATAACTTTTACTTCCTGCCAAAAAGAAATGCTTGTAATAGCTGTGTGACCAACAATTAATTACATTAAAGCTAGCAAATAATCACACCCCTTTGCAAGAGAACTATCTAATTTTTTTCAACCTAAGATCAAGTATTCTGATTTTTTTTATACACAGACATTGTAGATCTGGGAACCGTATAACAAGTAGATCTTTTCAACACCTTTTTGTATTGAAAAAATGTAGGATATATATATATATATATATATATATATAAATACACACACACACACACACTCTTAGGCTTGGCCCACCCTCCCTAAATTTGCTCAATACCTAAAAGTATCTCTCCTAAACTTGTTATGATGATCCCAAATCTAGTTAAAACAAGGATTACATAAAGAAAGATGCATGATTAGGGGAAGCTACAACCAAATCATTTTACACAAGTGACATACTTACTAGTCATTGCAGGTGTCTTTATGCTTGACTGTCAATGTTGCCCGCAACTTTTGTTTATTGAGTTCCGTCGAAGGAGCTTTTTACCAGGAGCTTGGTGATCATCCTGCATAAGCAAATAGGCAAAATTAGTTGAGGAAATGAGGGGTTAGATTAGTAGTGTCAAGCATATCAGAGGTACCAGTAGCCTGTAGCAGCTACTCCCATAATTGCTAAAATGAAAAGGCATGAACCATAACTACCTAGATATCAGATGACTTAGCTCTTTCCCAAAGAAAACAAGTTCAATCATAGTAATTATTAACAAACATCTGAAAACTGATCTAGGAGCAATGGTCACCAATAACTAATTATAAAAAATCCGAATTGAAAACTTTACACTCTCCTTTGCTAAAGATATAATAACTGCTTCAACAGTGTTGATTTAAATGATTATGAACAACCGAAATTTTTCACTCTTTTTGCTTAAGGTATGCTAATGGCTACAACAGCATTGGTTATGAATTAACTGAATGAAGGAGCCATGAAAGTACTACAATCCACAGATTAAATCTCTAAATGCCTCATTGAAGCATGAGTGTCGTGTATAAAGCAGTAGGTCAAAGCTAGGAAGTAAGCTTCAGTGAAATGTTTTCACAATTTTGGACTCTTTTCACTAAAACTAGAGCAAGGACACACCAATGAGAACAGCAGATAATTCATAAAACCATGCATGTAAGAACAGGAAACAGATTCATGACTTGACAGCAGAGGCTAGCTAACCATCTATTTCTAATTCTTCAAAAGATACATGTATTCTAGTCATCAATGAAAGCAGTCTATAAGCTGTTCAATCAAGAAAACAAAAGTTACGCCCCAGACAAACCATATTTCAGAATTAAGGCCACTACCTTATATAATGATGCTGCTGACTCAGACTGTAATGTCTGCACAGGAATATGCCCTAGTGATCGCAGAGCATCCAGAGCATCCAAGGTCAGCTGCCATCCACAAAGTGCAACAACATCAGCACTGGTGTTAGAGCCGGTGCTACTACAGCCAGCAGCAGCAACATTTCCATTCACCCAGGGGCAGAACTGGTTGTGATGAATAATTGGATCAAATTCTATAGTTTCTTCATAATTGCTTTCTCCTTTTGGCGGTCCTAAAAATTAACTAGTCTCAATAAGGGATCCAGCACAGAAAAAGGACGGGAATAGAAATGAAGAACCACAAACATATAAACACCATCTTTGAAAGTTCAAATAGTTGAACAAAACACATAGATTACAACCTGGGCATGTACATTATCAATTCCAACACAAACTAAAGTCTGATATGATTAAAAGCAAGTCAAGTCAATGAAGGCAATATCAGTTAGAATTGAACTGGTACAAATTTCCATGAACATATGGAACACTGCTAAATGCTAATCACGTATAGATCCAGAAATCAATAGAAACGAGAACATGACCCAGATGGATTCAATTAATTCCAGAACAGAAGACACAAATCCTTATGATCCTGAGAATAGCTAATTTTTACTGCTTCAGCAGGCTGAATCATAGAAATTTCAAACCAAACTACAGGGGTTACCATTGAAACCCAGATAGATAGAAAAAGTTCCAGCACAGAAGACACAAATCTTTATGATCCTCAGAATACCTATTTTTTACTTCTTCAGAAGGCTGAATGAAAGCAATTTCAAACCAAACTAGATGGGTTACCAAAGAAACCGAGGTAGATTGAATTAATTCCAGTACAGAAGACACAAACCTTTGTGACCCCGAGAATATTTAAATTCAACTGCTTCAGCAGGCACAATGAAAGCAATATCAAACCAAACTACAGGAGTTGCCATTGAAAGCTAACGATTTGAAGAAACATTACATCATATAACTTCATTGTATCTCAGAAGGTTCCCGAAACGCTATTTCAAATGATTCCACTCACAAGTCACAAGTAAAAATTTTTCACATGCAGCATCATATCATTCTAAACACAAAATAACCTATTAGTCTTAAATCAGTAGGGCAAGGCAACTAGTTACAGCTATTAGATTGTTTCATTAGCAAATATAATAAAAGATATTTAAATTGCCCAAAAATAAAGTATGCAAACTGAGTAATCATTTGATGCATATACGAAAAAGTTCAGAAATCTACTAAAAAATAGGCAATGGAACTATCGTTCCAAATCAGATCCAGAAACAAAGAGTTCATAGTTCTCAAAGCAACCCTAAGAGCAACCACATTGTACATTCACTGAAAGAGGTATTCAGTACAATATACAGTATATCATTAGTTTTAGGCTTCAAGAATCAAGACAATCTGAAAATATGCAGGAAAAGAATCATTATAAAGATAAATCAAATTTACAAAAACCATGGATAACAGAATCAATTTATGCATACCTGGCCACCAAAGAGGGGGATCTTGCTTTTTTTTAATAGCCAGTTTTCTGATACACTAGTTTTGCCATTTTATTTATGTGTTATTTTAGTGTGATAAATAAACAAAAAAAGAGAGCCAAACTACCCAAAGAGCCTTGAGATGTAAAATCAATGAAAATTCTATGGCTTGGATCTAACATGTATGGCACATAGAGTTTACCTATCCCATTTGCAACAGCATAATCTGACTCTGGGTCTCGGTATGGAGAATTGTTTATGGAAGATGATTTTCCAGCATTTTTTACCTCTTTATTTGGTGGTTCACTACCAGAGTGCACATTAGCATTGCAGGAAAGAGAAGGATGAACACTGTTATTTGGGACTACTTTGAAGCTTTGGCTTATCTTTTCACCACTTTCAACAGACTCTGCTTTGGCAGAACCATCAACTTTCGAACCACTGTCATCCCTTCGTAGAGAGCGAGACAACATTTCTTGGCTGTCACCATGAGGATCTTCCCTATTTATTTCATCGGGTACAACCTCATCCATCAACCCAGGATCTGGTGCAGATTCACCTGTTTGACCCTGATTTTCAGCATATTCTATTCTGGGTTCCACATCACCAACTACACTAACTGTTCTGTGCACAGAGGCATCTGCTCCATGGATTTCAGCTTCATGGCTGGCACACATACCAACACTCCCCCCACTAATTCCAAAACTAAGCCCATCCTTAGCCTGAGCTGTCACAGTTTCAGCATTAAAAATTTCCTCACCATCATTTGTACTGCTGATGCCCATTTCACCTGGAACTGCTTTGGCAGCTGGTTGGAAACAAATACTCTGCTGACCTTGATTACTATAATTCAACTCTGATGTATCATTCATCTCAAGGTGGCCATATGTACTAGAAGAGGGGAAATGGATATCATCAACATCTCCAGGATAATTTACAACACTTTCCATTGAATCATCATCGGCACTGTGGCAAACAGTATCCATTGCAATGACAGAGGATGCGCGTGTTGAATCTCTGGCTGATGGGATTCCAATAACATGGTCGCTTCCTTGCCTAAACAGAGCCACTTTATTGCCATCTGCATAAGTTTCAAAACCCATTGAATGGCTTGGACCTGCATCAGATGAATCTCTTGGATACGGTGAGCAGTAAGTGTCAAAAATATCTGAATCACGAGCTCGTTTTGATGGACCAGCAGAATATTGTCTGCCATCAGTAACTTCATCACCATCACGATCGACAACAGCTCCTTCAACACTATCAGCCTGCTGTATGCGTAACTGTGGCTTGTCATCTGAACTAGCACCTATTTCCAAGCTTCGCTTGCGAGAACTAGGACCCCGTGATTCATACGAAGCTGCTTGATCACCAACCTCACTGCCTGATGGTTGCCCAATCATTAGATCCCGTCCCATGTCTGCATCATTCATATTTCTGGATATTGTGGTTCTACCCAACTGATTAAAAGACAGACCCGCAGCCATTGTAAGATTTAAATCAACATCTGTTTTTTGCATCAATTTTCTCTCATCAGTTGTTCCTACTTCATCACGGTCTTCAGTCAGTTCTTTCTCAGGATCATCAGCAGCAACCCAACCACTAATTCCACTTGCTGCACTTACTCCACGAATCAATCCCATTTTTTTGCTTGTATCAGGGATATCAATGTTGTTAGGAGCAACTCTAGCAGGTCGAGGAACAGTTAAAAAATCCAATATCCTGACAGCAGCACCACATAAGCTACAGTCCAACAAAGGCAACCTGAATTCAGATCTAGACTCCATGACTAACAATTTACTTTTTCCAGTGTCTTTGAAAGTGAGTGCATTTTTGCTTGGTCCAGGGTCCTGCGAAAGATGGACCTGCGCTGTATTAGGGCCAAAAGAACATCCATTTCTAGCTGATTGAGCAGAATGTTCTTCACAGTCTTGAACATTTAAAAGCCATCTCGGTTCCCATCCACACAAGCTTATCAGCTTCTGTGACTGCAAAAGGGCAAAGCATATATAAGAATAATGAAACATTGCCAATTACCAGCACATAAAAAAGCATTAAATTATCTTACATGAGAATATAGACAAAATGCACCATCTATACAATTATCAAGTTCTGGTATACTCTCTGATCTGGATTCAAATTCTGCCATATAATTCTGCAACTGAGACAAAAGGCGATCAACCTGGGGACCCCGAGACACTCGCATATGCTCCACTGCAGATGAAGCTATGACAGGAAGAGATTGAAACTGCAATAGTCCATCACATCTATCCTTGTATCCTGCAATTAGGGCAGATTGAGGTGTTGGCGGGAATTGGACCAAGCTTTGCGGACAGCTGTTTCCTCTCCAAGGACAAGCAACTTTGTGCCCAACATCCAGCTGCTTGGAAAAAGCTACACCAGCATCCTCAGCTTCAGAAAGAATAAAAAAAAGGACCAAAAAGAATATAAATGTGTTAGCATTTGAAAAATGGCAAAGAAGAGAGACCAAAGCATAGCATATCATTAGCAATTTACTGCTAACAAAATCTTGAAAACTGCAAATCCCCCAGAAGAAACACCATCCATAATATTAACTTCATGACAACCCCCCAAAACAGTTCGGTTCCACTTCTATGTTACCTAAACCAGAACAATTTTTACAGCTATTAACTAACCAGAAACCAGAATAAATAAAAGCTAAGGCAACATCAAATATGATTCAAACAAACACAAATTGTCTAAAGAAAATGAATGAGAGCAGAAGCAAGTATTAAGCATCACACATTTATAAACATATACAAAGATATATACATAAAGCTTTCTTGTAATTTATGTTTCTTACCTATAACTAAGTCAAATTATTGTCATAAACCATTCCTTAGACAGGCAAAACACTATAGTTTCCTTTTCCTATTAGCATAATTAATTTAAAGGGAAAAGAAAAACATAACTGCTCCAAAAAACGAGTTCTTTTATCTATATGTCCATTCATGACACCATTCCTCATCTAATTTCTTATATATCATTAAGCATATATCAAAGCATCAAATAACTAGAAAATCCTGAGTTTTTGTGATGGTCATTGGTCATACTGCAATAATTTTATATCCCTGAGAGCTGTAAACAAAGAAAAGTAGTCGAAATGCAGCAGCCAACCTTCAGAAGCAGCCCAGGATGGGGAGAAAGCAAAATGCAGGTGTCCTCCACATGTTTCACATGCAATTTTATCAACATCCATATTTATCCAACCTCTTTGAGCACAAGCCAATGAGCTTGCGACCTGCAATTAATTTGAAAAGGAGCAGTTTTATTCAACATTATATCACGCATATTCTATAACTAAAAGAAAAATGAATCTTTTAAGTACTAGACTCAATGCAATCACTAAAAATCAAGGGGCAAACTTAGAAGTTTGTATTTAAAAGCGTATCCATGATATCCTTTTTTATGGGTAATTGTCCAACTGTGATGTATATCAGAGATCAATACATACAAGAAAGAAAACATGTCAAATAATGCAAACTCCACTAGTATATTTATACTAAGGAGATACCACATCAAGTGTGTACCTTGGGTTTCCCAAACCAATTCATAGGCTTAAATGTAGCCAAACGCCTAAGAAGGTCTCCCCTTTCCCATGGTCGACATGATGTTCTTGATGATCCAAGAGCAGATCCACCAGCACTGGTACTGAGTGAAATCCATGGTGCTTGAGATCCAACACAAGATTGAGAAGCTGCTTTGGAATTTTGGCCATGACCAGACCAATCCACACTGCCAACATTTGTTGGAACAGCAGGTGAGGATGCCCCCGCAGAACTGATAAGTAAGAAGAAGCATAAATCACTTTTGTCCGAATTCCTAATGAAGCATAGTGAATATGATTGTTTCACATAAAATGAATGAATAAATAAACAAATTAGCACGTCTATACCTCCTTATAATGTAAGTTAGCAAGTTCCTTATATATCAGTTTCTTTAGCAGGAAAATTTTTATTTTTGGTACAAAGGAAGCTGCAGCTTGGGATAAAGAAAGGTATTGCAGGTGCTGAGATTTAAAATCCAGACCTACCGGATGCCTCCTCTCAAAGGTGGCTATATAAACCAACTGAGGTAAGCCTGCTAATGAAATGACATATTCCTAGTCGACATGGACACAGTTTTCATCCTCTATTCCCCTCACCCCTCAAACATAACCACAAAATAGGGTAATTAAGGACTTAGAACGTTGACAAAACATTGTAGAAGTGATGAACAATATCTTTTCTAGATCATCATGATTGTTTCACTCTTTTCTTCCTTTACATCACTCAAAACCAGAGCAAAAATTTTTGCAGCAGGACAAATACCCTCACTTATTTCAAGTCCTTACATCATTGCTTATTTCCAAGGGATTAAAAATTTCCAGCTTCACAATTTATAATTTTACAGATAAAATTGAGCAAAAAAGTTTGGTTGACCAACAAAAGAATAATAAAAAAGCAATATAGATGGGATAAAAGTGAGTACAACCGATTCAATTCCATAGAAAGCCATATTAAATGTCTACGGAGATATAAAGATAAACCTAGTTACCTAGTTAAGACTTTGCAATGCAAAAACTGAGTTAAATTCATTTTTTTCAAATTTTCCTCTTTCTTTTTCAGGTTAAAGGGAAAGTGCGCCAAAGCTCAAATTTAGGATCTTTAGCAAAACCCCAACGCTCATTACTTGCCCCTCACTTACCCAGAAACTAAAAATCTTCGCTTCAACTAAATCTCAATCATTTTTCACTCTCCAAATCAATTAACCTCAACTGAAACTCTCAATATTCTTCTTTCCCCGCTTTTCCCAGCAACCAAACACAACCAAAAACATAACCCTAACCCTACATATCATACAGAAAAATAGCAAATAAAAACCCCAAATTCACCAAGAAAGAAATAAGGCTTGTGAAAAGAAAATCCTAATTTGAGAATTGGGACGAAAACAAAGACAAAGGAGCGAGTGAAAGTTAGCACCTCGCAGCAGGAGTGGGTTCTATGGTCCCACCAGAGCTAATAACCTCTTCTCTCATTGCAGCGCCTTCCCACCTGCCTCTTTCGGCCTAAGGAAATTAATAATTTGGAAACAAAAACCCGAGTACTAGACATTGTCAGCTCCTTTTTATTACACTTGACAGGCTCGCGTAACACGAGTATTGCTTCTCTTTTTTTATGATGGGGATGGGCCTCGCATTTTTCTTAATGTTTGGGTCTCCCAGGTCTCGCTTCTCTTTTTGGGCCTCCCAGGTTATAAAACAAACTGGGGGAAGATTAGGACTGGAAAATCCACTTAAATCGTCTTTAATCTTTGCTTTCCACCGCTTTTTATATCTGATTTTGGACTCAAAACTTGGCCAAGACTTGGCAACTGATGGATCTGAACATACTTATCTCGTATCAAATAATTTTGTTAAATATGAAAAATACGAAAACTATCATATCATATCAGTAGGTCAAATATAAAATATTTTTTATTTTAATCAAATTCATATATTATTTTTATTTAAATTTTATACGTTTTCATAATATATCATTATATTGTGTTTAAATTTACTGTTTTATCCGACAGCCTTGCAATTAAATGGACTTGTCCTTACTTCCTAATTGCCTAGTTGTATAGGAAATCATAATTGAAAAAAAAAAATTAAAAACAACACATTTCAATCTCTACCACTATTTTTTCTCCTTTTTTTTTTCCCAATTTTATTTATTCATAAATTCAATTGATAGGTAAAATTAGGTCTCCAAACAGCAGAGAAATATGATATATGGTAAGTTCGTTTTGAATCACACCATCCAACAGAGGCAAACATATAGCTGGTATGCGTAAACGGTGGTTTGCACAAAAGTGAAGTTACAACCATGGAAAAGCAAGATATATATACATTTGAGTAGCTAGTAGTGGTATTTCAAGTTCGCCTGAGAGAACTGACCAGTGCGCATTGCGAAAGGCGCCAATCATCCCGATTGAGAAGAGCTACCAGCAGCCCCTGTAATCATTGAAGGAAAACCATAAAAGAAACCCAAAAATATAAGACTTTACATCCAAGAAACTGGCCTTTCTAATCTCTCACATTTGTATAATGTAAATCTGTAATAGATAGTGACAAAAGCGAGACCTAGAGAAAGTGATGTGATTTAACAGAAGATTCATTGAATATGGTTTACTCTGCTTGTGCATCATTCCTACAGAATGTAACATTTCCTAACTGCTAAATGCTGACATACTAAAAACCATCCACATTAGATTCACATCTTACACTCTTAAAATATTTTCCAAAAGGGTGAAGGCTGAAGGGATCAGATGACACTCCATATTTCCCCCCAGAAGGGATGAGATTCCTGTGAGCTCATTGATTTGACAACTCTAATTTTCAGTCCCGCCACTGCCCTAGTGTAAATATATGTTGAATTTCGATTTTCCCTTAAACTAAAATCATAGGAGGATAGGTAATTGAGAATTCAAAAGAGATACATACTCTACTAACTGGTATGATATACTAACCATCCTTGCCATGTCCTAATGAAAAAATATGTTGAATTTCGATCTTCCTTTAGACTAAATCGTAGGAGGATAGTTAATTGAGAATTCAAAAGAGATACATGCTCTACTAACTGGTATGATATACTAACCATCCTTTTTTTCCACCCTTCCTTCCTCTGCCATTTTCCAAACAATATCTTTTAGCCCAGTACAGAGATTCTTATAGAACTGTGAATTTAAGAAAGCAAAGTGTAAATTCAAGGTAATATAAAGTCAAGAGGGAAAAAATTCAAGTTAACTTCGAATCATGAAAAACCAAATTGATATTCTTTGCATGCCTTTGCAAGATAAAGTGGCCATGGTTATCAGAAAATTAATAAATGAATTATCCACCATATTAACAGCAAAGAGACCTAGAATTTCCATTCAAGAGGTAAGCATTAAGCATTTTCATAAGTAAAAAACGCAACATCACTAACATTATGCTTAATACCTTGTGAAATTCCAAGGTATCTCCTTCAGACTTTCGAAGTTCAACCATGCAAAGTGAAGGAGCCACCTGAAAAATCTGAATAGGGAAAGAGGCAGGGAATGGGGGTTACAGACCAGACCATCAATAACCATGTTCAAACAACTTTTAATGAGAGTGAAACTGAAATTATGCTCAAAAGATAAAGACTGAAAGAGAAGTGCCTCTGTTGTAACAGCCAAATGACCCTTGCGTCCTGTTTTTTCTCCTAGAAGCTTCATCTGAGATGGGTAAAAGAAGCCGACTTTATCAGAAATGAGAAAATAATTTAACATTTGATTACTGATTTATAGTCAAAATTCTGAAGAGATTACATATTAACTCAATTTAGTTACACATGAATCTTTCTATTTCAGCCAAAAAGACCCAAAGAAATGGGACTTTCAAGTGCTCAATGCAGATATGCAATACTCCAGTTCCATTGGAAAGAACTGATACCAAAACAATCTTTACCAAATGAAGTTGGCAACAAGCACCAATCGAAACTGAATCTAGTTCAATCAGTGTCCATCAAATATAGGATCACTGCTGCCCTGAGCAGGTGATAAAGTTACCAATAGATGATAAAATATCAGGATAAGGGAGCATTAAGTATAGAAACCACAAATTCATCCATCTAAATTTCTGAAGAAGATTAAAAGCAGTCAAAATGCTTAAGGTTGGAACGAGATTAAACCTTATAGTTATTTTTCTTCACATCAAAACCCAAGGGCATTGCAGCTTCCTCTATTTTTGAGATTATCTCATTTGCAGGACATTTTGATGCGAACCTTGTTTCCCGTTTAACAAGGCCCTGTAATCAGAGGAAATTGCAGCCACATTATCTTTCAAAGTTATGTATTAATTAAGACAATAAATAATATCCCAAGATTTACCCATGGTTGGTCAAACTATTTACATATAACAGAACATTTTTTAAGGGATAAACATGTGAATTATCAATCACATGCTTCAAAACAATCAAAATAATTTATGGACAACCAGTAGTTCGAGAAAATTATCTGAGATATCTTTCATGACTACCAACCAAAGGGGCTTTCACTTCACTGGATGAAGCAAAATTTCAGATTCTCAAGGGTTCTATTTTCTATCTTGTAAGTAACATAATTGGCAAACATACCATTGGTTTCTCAAACAAACACCTAAGGTTGAGACCCTGAGATTTGGAGATAAGTTCAAATGCATTCATAGTAGCCGGTACAACAGGCCCTTCTTCTCGTCGTTCAACAACAAGGTTTTGAGAATCCTGCTAACAAAATCATGTAGACAGACTCGTTCCACTGCACCAACACTATAAAACCACATTCCATAAGTGAAAAAGACAACTCTTACCCCTGATTCATTGAAAATGGCATCCACATCAGCAAGAGTAACATCAGCTTGCTCAAACCTAGGTGGCATATATCCTTTCTTAAACCAGTCATTCTCAATAACCTCAGCAATTGTTATCCTCTGGTTCAGTCACAAGTAATAAAGAGTGAAAATTATATCCCAAAAAAAACACAAAGAGAACATCAGGGCCGGCACCCTTAGGCACAAAATGAATTCAAAAATACCAACAGAAAATAATAATAATAAAATGGGGAGAAAGAAAGAGAGCATGGGCAAAGGGCAAGAGACAAGAACTTACTGTCAACGGATTAGGGTCTAGGATTCTCTTGATTAGTTTCTTTGCACTTGAGGAGAACCATGGTGGAAAACTGAAGTCAGCCTTAAATATCTGCAATCACATAGGAAACTCCTTCAGAGAAAGCATTTCAGATGTAGAAGACACAGATCAAACTTAATTGCAAGTTCATTGGTCAGCAGTATGACAGCATTGTTGTATGCAGATACAAACATGACAGGCACCTGTCTTTCTGTGCTTATTTGTGTGCACATAAACTTTTGTTATTGATGTTTCCAAGGTACTGTCCTCCCTGGCCATGAGTTATAACTGCCTCCATGAAAGAATTGACGGTTTCCCAAGCCAACGACCACCAATAACTAAGACTTTTAATATTTCAATTTATTCTTTAAAATAACAATATTGATTGAGGAAATGGAGAATGGCTAACAAGAAGAATATAGGATACAAATCAATATTTATCAGGAGAAAATTGATTATTTCCAAAATATGAGACCATTTGATTCTGTGATTAACTTATGTCGATGATGACGATGATGACTTAATAAGCAATAACACATAAAAGTTCAGCAAAATTGTTTGTTTTGAAGTGAAAGGAAAAAGAGCTCAGAGAGACAAAAATAGAGAGAACAAGCACCTTTTTATATAGAGCAATTAAATTGGAGTCCTCAAAAGGCAAGAAACCAGCCATTAAGACAAAGAGTATCACACCACATGACCAAAGATCTGCCTTAGCTCCATCATAGCCTTTATTTTTTATCACCTAAAAAGTGATAGCACAAAAGCAATAAAGAAAAGCTGGATCACAAAGAAAAGGGATCTATTTTGCAACAAAACAGATGTACCTCTGGAGCAACATAATTTGGTGTCCCACACGTTGTGTGAAGTAACCCATCCTCCTATATTTAAAAAATAAGATAATCAGTTTTCAATTGTTTTATCAGCATGTTACAAAAAGTTGCATGATAAATAGCCATTCACCAATGTGGTAGGGAATGGAAAAACCAAATAAAATGTGCTTCTGGGGTCTGCCATCTTCTTCTGTTACCCACAAAATTCAAGCACCAAGCAAGACTAAAACCATACACGTGCAAAGTGGACAACACAGATCAAGCAGCCATACCATAATGAATATAAGATATTGGGTAAATATTGTCATTCAGAGACAAAGATGTCATAATACATAAAGACAGCACACTCACTCGAACTTGCTGAGGTAAAGCACTCAAACCAAAATCTGAGACTTTAAGAACTCCATTAGCATCCAGCAGCAAATTCTCTGGCTGTAAATTACGAAACACAGCTATGCTGGATCAAATAAATTCACAGATTAACTGTTATAGTTAAAGGGGTATTGAACACAAAAAATATCCCACACCTTCAGGTCTCGATGGTAAACACCTCTGCTATGGCAGTAATCCACAGCATTAATAAGCTGCTGAAAGAACTTTCTAGCTTCATCTTCCTTTAACCGCCCTCTGCTAGCCTGGCACAGGGACAAAATGCAAGATTAATATACAGTAATCAACCCTGATGAACAACTAAGACTTGATTCCTGATAGCACTTTTACTTTTCCAAAAGTAAAACACAAATTTGTTCCAAGCACTATCTTACAATTTTGTCAAAAAGTTCACCACCAGTCACAAATTCCAGAACAATGTATATTTTCGTCTTGCTAGCCATCACCTACACCCAGAATATTGCTAGAAGTTACCAAGAAGCATAGACATCATATACTTACATCAGTTATAAAGCCAAGTAGAGCCCTCTTCAGACAAACTGCTTAGAGAGAGCACATACAAGATACAAGGAAGCAATGCATGGAGATCAACAAAATAACTAGATTAAGATATATAGAGAAAAACTTTGTGTCAAACCTCATACATACGGATGACATTTGGGTGTCTAATAAGTTTCATTGTTGAAATTTCACGTTTAATCTGCAAAGGACAAAGAAAAAGAACAATGCGGCATGCACAAGGTAAAACAGAAATGAGATTCAAAGGGATATAAATAGCATAGCCATCTAACTGTCAGCAGTAAATAAGGGGAAAAATCAAGGGATGTAGTAACAGTTCAAAGCAAAAGTTTTTTATCAGTCCAAAAAGAAATTTTTTGAAGGAAAAAAGTTATTATTATTTTACGGTATACTTATATTACTATTTCAAAGAATAATTTCTTTTTTGGTAAAACATGGAGTAACCAAATGACAGACATTAGTCAAATGTGAAACTATTAAGATTATTTCTCATAGACAAATTAAGTTTGACTCTTACTTTTTGGACATAAAAACTCCATTTGTTTGCTAATCCCTAATACGCTCCATTTGGTCCCCCAACCAACCACTAAATTATCATAGTCACAATTCTTAATTGAGTCATAAGAAACAAAGAAATGAGAATCAAAGCCTAAAACAATTAATAAAAATAAGAAACTGTTAAAATTTTGAAAATTACAAAGTCAAATCATGTTTAGCATCCTGATTAATCAAAAACAACAACAATTAACTTAACTAAAAGACCCAAAATTGAGTCATAAGAAACAGAGAAATGAGAGTCAAAACCTACAAAAATTAATAAAAATAAGAAACTGTTAAAAAATTGAAAATTACAAAGTCAAATCATGTTTGGTATCCTGACTAATAAAAAACTAGAACAATTAACTTAACTAAAATGCCCAAAAAAAAATTCATTCAAGTAACTGATAATCAGTAATTTGTTCAATTAACTGGAAATCAATACAAGGAAAAATGAAACTAACATAGAATTAAGATTCCGTATCGAGAAAAAAATACAAATCAAGTAAAGTTTAATTGGTTGTAAATTAATATTAACTTTTGCAAAAGAGATTTATTAGTGTGATTATTAGAAGAAAAAGTACCTGACCAATCATCTTATTCTTCAAAACTTTCTCTTTATCAAGAATCTTGATTGCTACGTTCTCTCCGGTCTCCATATTCCTCGCAAATTTCACCTTCGCGAATGTTCCTTCTCCCAAGGTCTTCCCTAGCTCGTACCTCCCCACACGTGTCCTGGTCCCAGCACTCGTGCGAGTCGCCATCACCTTCTATCTGATTCCTACTTATTTCTGTTAAATTTTTTTCCCTATTTCTTTCAAAAAAGAATCCTCTTTTTCTCTTTGTTTTCTTCTAAAGCTTGCAATTAATCAAAGACCTCTTCTTCTTGCACGGTTGCCATACCCGAGACTTAGACACCCTCATTGTTCTCCAAAAAAAAAAAGAAAAACGAATTCAAGAAAATCAAAATCCTATATATGAAGATTAAAATGGGAAAAAAATTAAATCTCGATGATCAAGGGGAAAATGTTGGAGACAGAGAAAGCAGAAGCGGTGGCCAAGGGATTAGACATAGTACACACGAAATCGGATAAATCAACGGCGGAGAAATCGGTTCAAGAAAGCGAAGAACGTAGAGATTTGAAGGGGAGGTTCGCTGGCAAATTTTTTGCCTTCTCTTTTCCTTTCCTAGGGTTTTGATTTGCAGATTGGAGAAGTCGAATCAGGGCGTAGCTCTAAGGCGGTTTTGCCCAAAAATAAAAATAAAAAATAACAATAATGCAGGTGATTTCGACTTTGGTGAATTAATCTTTCGATGATTGGTGAGAATGCTTTTATAAGGTTTGGCGGTTTTAATATACTGCAATTATTGGAGAGGATGGACGTCAGATACTCTTCTCGTCTCAAATTGGTAACCTTCTCTGATTTGCCCAAAAAAAAATAATAATTCGATTTTAACAGGGAAAATATATAAAACAAAAACCGTCTCCATATTTTTTCCTATCTCTTTGGATTTTTTTTAGAATTTTTTTACCTCTTTAAACAAATAATATAATTAACATTCTGCATTGAATAAATCAAACCATTTGATTTAAAAAAAAAAAAAAAAGTAGACATAACTATCACTTATAATAAACAAAAAAGCACTAGACACCTGCACGAGATAAAACAGCCATACGTGTCTTACTCTCATGAATTGATAGAGAAATCACGATAATTTATGTATTTATATTTATATACTTAATTTTAAATATGTGTAAATTATAATTTATATTAATAAGTTAAATATAATTTTTTATTAAAATTTTAAGTAATTTTAATTACACTTTTATATTTTTATGTTGTATTTAAAATTAAAATATAAGAAATTGAAGTGGAAGAAGAATTAAATGATTATATGTTTAAAATATATATATAAAAAAAAAAAAAAACTTACATTGTTGCTTAAGGCAATCCCTTGAATTGTTATGATTTTTATTTTTCTTTTGATTCGAGAAAATGAGAGCATCAAACTTAATTTTTGAAATAAAAATTCTATATTTTTATTAAATTTCAAATACTGATATTTTAATTTTATTTGTAAAATTAAATTTGATGTTTAATTTTTATAAAATATAATTACAGTTTATTTCGTTATAAAAGCTATTAATACAATAAGGGCACAAATTACAATTAATCTGTGTTAGTTTAAGAAAGGGAGTAGTTAAAATATTATTTTAAAAATTACATTTTTATTTAATGTATTATGTTCACTAAATTTGAGGTAAAATAATATATTAATTAAATTTTTTAAACATCACTTTAACCAATATTATTAGACAGCTATTATCATTTTAAGTATAAAAATAATTATATTAATGTAGTTTAGTGCTTGTTTTCTGTTATGGCTTTACGTGAATCTGAACCAAACAGAGCACCGTCATGGAGTGATTAATTATTAATTATAATATCATACAAAGTCAATCCATAAAAAAACAAAATAAAATAAAATAACAATTGTATCTTTTTTAAAGTTTTATTAACCCCATGACTTGATTAATGGATATATAAAAAGGTTATTGGTATATAAATCTCAAAAGTATAATAAAATCCAATAATTAATTATGTTTTATATTTGACGAAATCAATCAATTAAACATCTATCAGTGTAAAAATATAATTATTTGATTTGATTATAAAAAATATACTACTCTTTTGTGGTTTTTGGTCACTTTCTTCCAACTGTAGTTGTTTTGTCTATATCTTTCCAAAATCTTAATAACTAATTATATATTTAAAAAAAAATATATAACCATTCACTGTCATATATAGTTCATGTACTACCATATATAAATGATATAACATCATTTTTAAAATGTTCCAACAATTTGGACCCACAATATGTATAAACTTATAATTCATGTCTTCCATGAACATTCATGAAAGAAGAAATAATTAGTACCTGTTTTGTACTATTCTTGAACTTTTCTCGTGTAATAGAATAATTGTATTTGGTTGGCTAGCCTAGTGAGCAATATTTTTAGCCATTAAAAAAATATTTTTTTATAATTATTTTAGACAGATAAAAGGTAGACTGGAATCCATTTGTTATAACAAAAGATGCGTATGCTCATTCTAATTTACACTTTCATGGTTTTAATTTTAATCGGTTAAGGGGCAGAAGTAGGCCCAATAGGAGTTGAGCCAGGCCCAGTTCTTTATCTTCTTGCTCCTTTCCCTAAAACCCGGAATTAGGGTTTAAGGCTTTTTTTTCTTTTTTTTTTCGTTCATTTTGATGATTCAAGCTTGAATAAAAAAAAAGGGGAACAAAATGGTGGAAGTGAAGAAAAAGAGCATCCCAATTCTTCCATGGATGAGAAGCCCGATTGATGTGAATCGCTTTGAAGATTGCCCTATCAATCTTGTCCCTTGTCTCGACCCCAGGTAGAATTTTTTTTTTTAAATATTTTTTAGTGCAATTTCCTATATTTTACTTTAATGGTGAATTATTTTGAAGATTTGAAGTATTTGATAATCGATTCTTTCAAGTTAGGTTGGAGGTGGCTTTGGAGAAGATGGGTATCTCTTCACTCTTCCCGGTGCAAGTTGCAGTTTGGCAAGAGACGTTAGGGCCTGGTGCTTTCCAGCGTGATCTCTGCATAAATTCACCGACTGGAAGTGGAAAGACTTTAGCCTACGCTTTGCCCATTGTGCAAATGCTGTCGACTCGTGCTGTTAGATGTCTACGGGCTTTGGTAGTGTTGCCTACACGTGATTTGGCACTGCAGGTGAATTCTTCCTTTTTTTCTTGTATAACGATTCCCATTTTGTTTCTGTTATTTCCCTCCCTCACTCTCTCTCAAGCAAATTTGAGGAATAACTAACTTTATGAAGCAACATGGTTAATTCTGATTTATTCAAGAAACCATTTGTTGAACTGTTTGAAAAGAACTCAAATTCTTCTTATGAAACTCATTATAATGGGGTTATGTATTTCTTGGTCGTTGTCTCGTCCTCCTATTTCAAGGTACTTTGCTGTTTTGCCCAACTGTTATGACAGATTAAAATGTTGGGTTTTGCTTCCTTTTGTTCAGGTTAAGGAAGTTTTTGCAGCCATTGCACCTGCAGTAGGCTTGTCCGTTGGTTTAGCAGTGGGTCAATCTTCGATTGCTGATGAAATATCAGAGCTTATTAAGAGACCTAAGCTTGAGGCAGGCATCTGTTATGACCCCGAAGATCTGACATATGAATTGCAAAGTTCAGTGGATATATTGGTGGCAACCCCAGGAAGGCTTATGGATCATATCAACTCCACAAAAGGATTTACGCTCGAGCATCTTTGTTACCTTGTAAGTAGTGACTATGTGTATGCATTCTAACCACTGTTGGGGCCTGACTACTATTAATTACCAATAATATTTTTAGAATGGTTGTTCATAAACATTGTTTCTGGGATTGAAACATAAACCTTACTGTGAGAGTTTCACTGTGCTTGTCAGGGTTTGGCTAGTTAAGAATCCTATCTTGAATTTATACTGACATCAATTTGGGTGACTAGTTCTGTATAAGTTTTTCTGTTAAGCTATAAACACCTGGGACTATTTGTTCACTGATGTGGACCATGCCTTTGATAGTTGCACAATTTTTTTTGTAGATATTGAAGAACACAACTGTAAAATTGGTCTCCTACACATAGTAGTCTATAGTTTCTACTTAAAATCTCTTTAACTTCATGTGAGTCCTAATTTTTGGAGTGAGATTTATTGGTAAAATAATGACATCTTTTTTATAAGGGAAAAGAGCCTATTTTATCATAGTTCAGTTTTGAGTCATTTGTTTGTTGATGCTGATGGGTAAATTGGTTCAGGTAGTTGATGAGACAGATCGGCTGCTCAGAGAAGCGTACCAGTCTTGGCTACCCACTGTACTTCAGTTGACTCAAGCTAATGATGAAAGCCTCTTTCCTCTTGCTAATTCTTATCTTTCATCTACATTGGGTCCTTTAAAAACTATAAGGAGATTGTAAGTTCTATGTTCCTTATGGTTTCTTAGGCTATTTCTTGATCTTCGGCAATAAGCATAGTACAAAATGATCTGAACTTAGTTTCACTGTTGTTTATAGATTTCTATCTATAAGACATGCATTTTTTGTTTAGACACATTTACATGCAAAGATAAATAGGCATGTGTACGTGCATGTATATATGGTGGAACTAGCTTTTCTGCAAGGTGGAATGCTTTTAGGCATGTTTGTACTAGCTTTTTCTGTCTATCTTTTCTTCTCTTTTATTAAAAGACTTCTTTCTTCATTTTGAAGATTATTTATTTATTTTTTTTAAAGATGTAGCACTAAGCAAAAGCAAAATGGCAAATAGCATGTTTTGGTGTATTCTATTTATTTATTTTTTCTTTAATTAAATGATTTCTAAAAATATTTCGTGAAACTGCTTAAAATGGGTTACTCTCTGGATATTGATATTATAACTACTATAGATGCTTGAAACCACGTTCACTTTGGAATAGTAACTGAGTTCCTTGAACAAATTATTGAAAGTGTCTCACTCTCGAATTTAGAGTATGTTCAAAATATTTCTCAGGGTTTTCATACTGTTTGAAATAGCAAGAGAGCCATATTTATGAATATCCAACTTCAATTCATGATTTTGTTACATTTTTGCTGCAGTGGGGTGGAAAGGGGGTTCAAGGGTAAATCTCACCCTAGGCTTGTTAAGATGGTTTTATCTGCCACCTTAACCCAAGATCCAAGCAAGCTTGCTCAGCTTAATCTGCATCATCCTTTGCTGATTACAACAGGGAAAAGACGTTACCAACTCCCAGAAAAATTGGAATCGTACAAAATTGTATGCTTCAGTAACCCTTCTGGTGAATATTTATACATTGGTCTTTGTGAGTCTATTGGTTTTTCAACCTCTTGAGCTCCAACATTGAGTAGCTTTCTTCATTAATATTGTACTTAATTAAAATATGGGGTCTTTAAGTTATTTTCAGAAAAAGTTGAGAGTCTTAAGTAATTCTTTTTTTTCCAAAGCTCACTTCAAGTTCATCAGTTTTGTTGTCAAAATATCAGGACAATATTTAAAGTTCTAGCAATTTATGTACAATAAGATTGGACTTTTTTTCCTGCTGTGAATTCTGAACTACTATACAAATAGACAGGATCAAAGAATGCTTGAAATATTTTGAAATTAAGAGGTCTTGTTGGCATAAGTTTTAAATATACTGCTCTAATCTTGAAAGAAAAATGTCAGTTGAATCAATAACTTAAAATCCCATTTCTGATGCTAATTTCAAAGCTTGTGAATTTAGTTTCTAATGCACTAGGTGGTTTCTTTTTTATTTTATTGTATTAAATTTCTATGTATTCTCTACAGATATGTGAATCGAACCTGAGGCCCCTGTATTTGGTTGCCCTTCTACAAGAATTAGGAGAAAAGAAGTGCATTGTTTTCACCTCATCCACTGAGTCAACTCATCGACTTTGTATGTTGCTGAACCTTTTTGGTGATTTAAGTATAAAAATAAAAGAGTATTCAGGCCGTCAACGTCAATCTTTAAGAAGGTAATGCCTGGATTAGTTTCCCCTAACGGCTTCTGTTTCTCATCTTTGTAAATAAACGATTTCTATGCTTGACTGAGCCTTTTGCAGCCCATTTGCATTTATTCTTTGATGACATTTGGGAATTGTTTTTCAAAATTAAACAATTTTGTGCCATCTTAAGTGCTAAAGAACTAGACATGATTGAGCTTCAGTAATGTAGTTCTTGATTAAATACATAGTGTTCTTCTTTCTGTAAATTTTAGTGCCTGTTTAACTTTGATTGTGTGGAAAAAATTTCATTAATATTCCTTATTGAGCTCTTGAATATCACATGGATCAAGTGATATAACAACAGGTAATAAATAGCTCTCTATTGAAATGATGGAAAGTGAATGGAACAAATGGATGGGACTTGGGGAATAAGAAACGGTGGGAAAGGAAATGAAAGCTAACTCTGCTTTCTTCATTTGCAATTTGCTTGAGAAGAAGAAAAAAATGATAGATCAAATTGAAATGGTGTAGATGTAATATTCACTCTCCCCTTTTTGTTTGTCAATTTTGTGACTAATGGTTTTGGTAGACTGCTAAGGAACATTCTGATCCTTCCAAAATGCTTTCCCCCCTTGGCTTCTAGCCAAACAAGAAATTATGTAATCCTGTATCCTTGTTTCTGCATTTTCCTTTTTCTCCAACCACATCTGCCGAAAATGAGTAGTGTTTTATATTTAACTTCTTATTTTCTAATTGATGATGATCATTCACAATGGTACAATGTCTATGAGGTGATTGTAAAACATTCTTGCTGACTTCTTATGAAATGCAACTTTGTGCTGCAGCAAGACATTGAAAGCATTCCGGGAAGGGAAGGTGCAAGTACTTGTATCCTCTGATGCGATGACTCGTGGAATGGATGTTGAAGGAGTGAGAAATGTCATTAATTATGATATGCCTGCATATATAAAGACCTATATCCATCGAGCCGGTCGGACTGCTAGAGCAGGTCAAGCTGGATGTTGCTTCACATTGCTCCATAAGCATGAGGTACGTGAACATATCAATTGCTTCCAACCATGAACATTGTACATGTCAACAAGGACTTGTGGATAGCTCTTTTCTTCATGAACATTGTATATGTCAATGAGGACTTGTGGATAGGACTTTTCTTCTATCTTTGTTATTATAACTTTATTTTGCATTCCTGTTCAGTAGGACGAATTGAAAACCAGTGAAATACTTGTGAAGTTATTTATTCTTTTACTTGTTTCAGGTGAAACGTTTTAAGAAGATGTTGCTGAAAGCAGACAATGACTCAGTTCCTCATTACTCTATTCCTTCCAGTTCAATTGAGTCACTGCATGCTGTTTATAACTCTGGTAACTTCTTGGCTCTTATCTAGGCCAATATAAGATCTTTGGATTAATCCCACTCAGCTACTAGCCTCTTCTTTCAAATGATCTGCCACATTAATCTGCCTTTTTCTTTTTGGGTTGGGAAGGTGTGCGGGTGGGAGAGGGGGGTCTTAGGACCACCTTTTCGGAATTTAGTTACGATTTAGTATTCCACTCGTAAATGGATATGATGAACCTGACTCTCTGTTTGGCTGATTACTCGTTTCTTCCTTCGCATATTTTGCAATGCCTTTCATTTGTAATAGATTGAAGGGATAAAAGGAAAGGTTATAGCAAATTTCTTTCTTGTGTTGATCAAATTCAAAAATGAGATCAAATTCAAAAATGAGTTCATTGAGCACAAACTATCGATTATAACCTTTACCTTTCATTTTTAGTGAAAGGAGATACTGTTGGTTCTGTGATATGCTTAGTTCTCCTCCTGTTGTGCATAATAGAAAATTAGAAAGAGGGTTCTTGACTGAAGCTTTTCACTTTTTTTAATGCACCAGCCCTTGGAAAACTGAAAGAGACGGTTGAATCTGAAGTATCCCGTAAGAGAAAAATTGGTTCCAAGTTTTCGAGATTGAGCAAGAGCAAGGGAAAAGGCCATCAGAAGTGATGATCTTTTACTGCAGAGGCAAAAAGTTCTTGTTACAAAATAGTTCAATTTTCTCGATGGAGATGGATATTGCTTAACATGAAGGCAACATGTCACTTTCGCAGATAAGCTGATATTCAGGACTGTACTCAGATTACATTTTTCAATACCCTAGTGTGGTGTGTGGAAGCCAGGATCAACCTTTTCACACCAAAGGCAGAAAGCAGAACTGTTTACACACACATATGGACTTGGTGTGAAATTTTTGAGAGCTCAGAGAAGTTTACGTTGCTAACAAAGTTGAGTCATGCACATACTGTTAACTGGAGAATCAGCAGGAGCCTTAAAATTAATAATGTTGTCATGAATTGCTTTCAGCTTTTGGGGCGAAGCATTGTTCAAGTTAAGATCTTCGGTTGTTCGTCCAATGAAGGACGATGAGGCCCTTCTCTTACCAAAGGAGGACAGAAAGTTACCGAGCTCACCCCTTACTTCCTCAACAGTAGGATAAGCCCCGTGCCCATCATATCAAATTGTATTTCAACTTATTATGATCATGTTCAATGGTTTTAAACCATGAGATAACTCCAGTAAAGATATTCTAGAATTGTTATTATCGCTGATTAGATCTGAGAACTTGCAGAAAGAGTCAAAACTAATTGATATTGTCTTAATTAAATAGTGGTTTTTCTATTTATATAATGCAATCCTTAGAATTTAGACTATTGGTTACATGTTTAAAGTCATGCATGCATGCCAATGGTGCTTGGAAGATTCCCCATATCTTGAGGAATCTGTATTCTGATAGCTTGCTACTTTATATGAGGTCATTCAAATTACTTCATCATGAGATGAACTGCTGGAGCATTATGAAGGTTGTTGCCTCCTTAGCTGGTTCAATGGGGATACTGAAACTTTTTATTGAATTGTTAGGCATTCAGGGTAAAATCTCTGCAACTCATTGGTTCAAGATGATAATGTCAAGTATCAAGGCTAATCTATCAACTAATGTTTTTTTTATTCATGAAACTCTTTACAGCATAGAATGCAAATATCTTACTCAGCCAATCACAGCATTGGTTATATTACCAAGTACATACGGATATATATAGACCTACAAAAGTCTCAGCAAGGTCTAGGCTATCAGGCCAATTCCCCCGGACTCTGTTAGTGGAAGAAAGAGAAAAAAACTGAAGAAGGAAGATACATCTTCAATACAACAAAAGCAAATCATTCTAGTTATTGAATATGGAAAAACTCGACACTCCTTTGAGAAAATACTTGGAGTTAGCCGTCACAGTAGTGGCAGAAGAAGAAGAAGCAGCAGCCATAGCACCCGCAGCGACTGAAGTTGGTGAGCTCTTGTAAGTAGGAGAAAGAGAACCATTGTTGCTACCATCTCTATCCTCTTCACTGATAGTGTCCAACATCTTTCTTGTTCTGTGCCTCATGACAGTAACAAACTGGGGTGGAGCAACCTCCATAATGAACCTCGGGAGACGTGAATTCGCCATGTCTAGGATCTCAGGAAGAAGTAGAAGGCTGAAACATGGAAATCCCAAGAAGGAACAAGAATTATAGGGGAAACACCCTGGTTTTGGATGAGCACAAGCTCAAGCTATGGGTAAGATTTATAAGAACATGGTTAGGCTTAAATTGAGAGAGAGGTCCTAGTCAGTGGTTCTAATCAAAATTTAACTCCTAGTGCCGCCACTTACTGTCATTACCAGTAATTTGAAAAAGTCTGATGTTAGATGTTTCCAATACAAGCTCCAAGAGATAACTACATCGTGGGACCTCTTCTTTTTATGTGTCAAAACTTGAATGGAAAATTAGGTAATCTTTGCAGATATGGATTTTGTTGGGATCAGTAGCTTCCAACTTTGCCCTTTTCTGAGCTCAACCGGCACTAACCTGTTGTGTGCCATCTGTCAGTTGATTTTTTCTATAGATGTAAAGGTCCTAATGTGCACCTCTTGCCTTGTGGATTGAAGAAAAGGCAACCCAGTTTGTCTGAAGTTGACATTGACAATGTTGGTAGAAGAAATTTCCTGAAAAACTTGCATATAAACAATGGTCCACTGTAATTGGCTGGAAACTCATTTGGTGCATCAGTTGAAGAAATCTTTCAAACCATATATCATCTTGTCTTACGTGTTTCTTTCTGTAACACAAGTGCATTAAAATATGGATTGAAATGAAGAAAAAAATCCTGAAAAAAAAATTAAAATGAAGAGTGGAAACTTTAGAACAATTAGAATTAACTCAACATTATACTGAAAAAGAATTATTAAATGTTAGTAATGCATTTGGACCCACCTTGAATTAGAATTTGATTGTTTATACTATTGGCCCAGTTTCAAGGATTGAGCCTGTAATGGTCCATCACCACTCACCTGATTGAAATTCTAAAGCCCAGGGATCACCATATTTGTTTATCCTTGGTTCTTTGTTTGCTTCTCCAAACCCCTATCCGAGATGGTGCGGCTCGGATCATTGATTCACATTTTCCTTCTTTTTCTTGGGTTTTCTTTTAATTGCTTGAAATTTTTTTTCTCTCTTTTTTACATTTGCTATTCCTTTTGTTTGGATAAGATGTATCTCCAGTTCTATATAAATGAGAATGGTGACAAAGTTTACACCACTAAGGTAAAATCCCTTTTTTTTTTTTCGCTTTATTTATTGATATTTATTGGTTAAAAGTTTAAAGCATCTCAGGTTTGTGTTAATTCTTTCATTTTGTATGTTTTGTTTATGGAGATTGAGATTGTGGGAAGGACGACCTTTTATGTAATGAAACTAAAACCTTTTATAAACTTGAAACTTAAAAGGTGTTTACTACTTGAAATCTTAAATATTTTGAGAAAAAAATGATTTAAGAAAAAATTAATATTAAAAGAGAACATATAATTTTTAGATTTTATTGATCTAGGAAAAGAAAAATTTCTGTGTTTGGTTCATGTAAATCTGAGATTATTTAATAAAATTTTTTATTATATTATCTTTAATAACATGTTACATTAATAATACTATGTGAATAAAATGTGGCATATGAATAATATGTTATTTTTATTAAAATTAAATAATTTTAAATAATAATTTTTTATATTTTCAACAAATATAATTTTATAATTTTAATTATTATTTTAATGTTATTGTCTTATGCAAAGAAAATACGCAAATCAACTTTTATAGTAAAATCGACGTAGATGTTGGAAGGGGGTGGTTAATCTCCCTCTAAGCTTAGTATAAATTTTATATGCAATAATATTAAATAAAATATATTTTAGATTTTATTTTATTTTTTGTTTTTAACAAAAACTTTTTTTATCTTAGAAAAATATTTTTTTCAATAAAAGTTATATTTTTATCGTAGAAATATTGTTTTTATTTGATTTTGAAAAATATATTTTTCATGTTTTTAATAAAAACTGTGACTTTTTATCTTAAAAGTGTCATTTTTTTAATGAAAGTTACCTATTTATTTTTGAATTATCGTTTTTATTGAATTTTAAAAACTATATATTTTTTTTATCTTTTTAACAAAGATTACATTTTTTATCTTAAAAATGTTGTTTTTTTTTTTTTAATTTGAAAATTTTTTTTCATGTTTTCAACAAAAATTGTGTTTTCCATTTTAAAAAATATTATCTTTTCAATAAAAACTGTATTTTCTATATTAAAACCGTCGTTTTTGTTAAATTTAATTTTTTTTTCATGTTTACAATAAAAATGATGTTTTTATCTTAGAAATGTTATTTTTTTAACAAAAATTACATTTTTAATTTTTAAAACGTTCATCTTTGTTAAATTTTAAAAAATAATTTTATTATATTTTTAACAAAAATTACCTTTTTTATTTTAAAAAGGTTATTTTTGTTGAATTATGAAAAATAATTTTTCATCTTTTTAACAAAAATTGTGTTTTTAATTATATTCGTGTTAAAAACATGATTTTTATTTAAAATATATTAAGGAAAAATAATTTAAATAATATTTAATAAAAAAATTATTTCATTTTTAAGGTAAGTAACATTATTTATATAATTTAAAAATACAATTAAGTGAGGACAAATGAAAAAAAAAAAATTTCACTTTTCTTCCATAATATTAAAAACTTCGGAGAGATCACAATTTTTATCTCTACTTTCCTACTTTTTGATATTTTTGGAAATTTTAAAAAACCTTATTAATTATATTACTTTGAATCAAACCAAGGAATCAAACTACAAAAAGATCCTGGAACGAAAAATTACTTTATCCCAAACTAAATACCTCTTAAAGTTATACCCTTTCTTTTTTTTTTTTTTTTAATTTCAAAGCTAAGTCTTTTTTTTTTTTAATTTTAAATTATTGATCTTAAACTTGTACTACAGCTGAGGTTTTTTCTTTGGAATGTCAAGACTATTTTTCTTTTCCATAATAATTGAGGGAGTTGATGGCTGAATAAACTTGCTCTATCATGAGAAACACATTTAAACGTGAAAATTAAAACTAGGATTAAGTTTTAATCTCTATCCTGCAGTCATTTCATGTTTGGCTTTCATCTTATCATCTTTTTGTTAATAATATTTAAGGTTTCTAATTTATGTATAATCAATATTTCACCAGTTATTTTTTATATTTATATTTGTTCGGATTTTATATGTAGGTAATAAAGCTTAATGTATTTATAAAAGTTCTGGCATAAACTGTTTTTTTTATGGTCTTCTTGATTGTGTCCCTTTTTTGAGAAAGCCTTACATGTATTACATGGTCTATTGAGGCAGCTGAAAAAAAATTCATATGGCTACTTTAAGCTTTATCAATATAATTTCTTTTCTGTAAGCTGCTTTGATCGGCATATATTTGTTTTGTCTGTTTTTATGTGGAAACCAATAAAAACGGTCCATTTTGGTGAAGAATTGATAGTGTTGTGACTACATGGTCATTAGCTATCTGTTTCTCATTTTTCCTTTCATTGGCAAGTTGGTATGCAACCGTGTCATCCATGGCACTCAACTACAACAGTGATAACGTCGGCTTGGAAACATGTTCGGCTGTTTTATATATATATATAGGGTGAAGAATTGATAGTGTTGAGACTACATGGTCATTAGCTATCTGTTTCTCATTTTTCCTTTCATTGGCAAGTTGGTATCCAACCGTGTCATCCATGGCACTCAACTACAACAGTGATAACGTCGGCTTGGAAACATGTTCGGCTGTTATATATATATATATTCTGGTTTTGCCCAAGTTTGTAATAGGATCAAGGCATATTTTATTTTTGGAAAATTGCATAGAAATTTTATTGGGAAATGTTGTTACGGTTTCTAATGAAATTTTTTTTCTTTTACCAACATTATGTGTGCAGCTCGTTTCTCCCCCGATGACAAATATTCGAGGCAAAGAGTTCTTTTGAAGAAACGTTTCGGTTTGTTGCCAACCCAGTAACCACCTCTAAAATATTGAATGATTAATCATGATGTACTTTTATGAATGACGATTTAAAACTGCGCAGTTTAATGACTGGTTGTAAGAACATCCCAAGTATATGAATGCAAGTATTACGTTTTGTTTCAGGATTATTGTTTGTTTTTAGACTCTCATTTTCAAATATACCAATTTGGTTAGTGCATCTGAACATCGTTTAGACAGGCAATATAACTGAAATTGTTTTACAAGTTGTTTATTAAATCTTAATTGAACTAAGAAAAGTGCTTTTAGGAATGGGAGCGATGTTTCAATTAAGTGAGAGGTCCAAGAATCCTCCAGGATATGTCTGCCCGAGCATTTTCCACAAACAGAACCTGAAAGCTGATGGAACCTTAACAATCACTCCTGATCTTTTGCCGTTTGCTTGTTTGAACGGAACTCCACCAAATGCAGTGCCGTCATAGCTGTATTTTCTCGTCTGTGCCGTATCTATCAGGGCACAACTAAAAGGAAATCTCCTGATATGTCCAACTCAGAGTTCTTCAAATGAAGACTTTTTGGAGTTGATCTTCATCCGTACCAAAAAGGCACTGCAACTTGTCTGGGTAAGTGTAGCCGGCCGCCCTATCAATTATCGAAAAAAGAGTTTCAAAAAGAAAGAGACCTTGAAACATGACTCGAAGTTTTGCATTTAAGATCCAAAGCTAATTAGCAGTACAACATACCTATTTCATTCTGATTTGCATTGAGTTTCATGTCGAATATAAAGCACACATAAGGGGATTTATATGCTGACCATCCTTATTTTCTTCAACTTACATGTGGATTGCAGACATAAAGATAGTTGCATTGAAGATAAAGATTCATAGAACTACTTACATATTTAAATTGATTCAACATTGAATTTTCATGTGGTCCAAACAGTTCACATGCATTGAAACAAAAAGCGAATTTTTCGTACCGGGTGACAATGAGGCCTCAATATTGTAAATCCGTATGAAGCTACAGTACAATCATTTAAATTATAGCATAAATTTGACTGAGTTTGATTCAGACAAAGCCATCTAATTCTTAAAATGTCTAAAGTCTTGGCAAGTTAGCCTTTCACTGATGGCAAGAAAGACCTCATGGTTATCGCATTTCTAGCTAGCCATTAAGGGTCCACAACTTAGGACTGGTTGGAAGTGCTTTTTATTGAAATCAACAATTTTGGGGTGTCTGTCTTCATTTCTTGGTTCATTTTTGTACTTACATTTGTTCACATGGGAAGTCATCCGGATCGATCTGTGATACTAACAATGGATCCAAGAAGATTTTATTAATTAGGACAGCAAAAATGGAAAGCGATTGTGCATAGCGTTGGTTGTGAGTGGTTAAAGCCTTGAAGGGGCAAAATGTCCCTTTTTTGCGGGTTTTTTTTTCCTAAGGCAAGGAAAGAAAAAGGTCGTAATTTGATTCTGATCATAAAGTTAAAAAAAGAGGCATTAGACAGTAGTATTGAATGATGATGATGATGATGTTAAGCCTACTGCTGTGATAATGAGGTAACGAAGAGGCTGACAAGAGTAAGCTTTTTGGTTTGTTTCCCACTTTTCCAATTTTGTTTCTTCAAACACTTCTCTTTTGCTTCATCAAGGAGAACACTTCTCTTTTGACTGGTTTTTAATTATTTTTCATAATTTGACTCGAACAAAGGAGAGATGATATATAGGAAAATTATTGATGAGTGAAAATGGGAAATTATTGTGCAAGTTGTAGCACATTTTTGAAGGTCGAATTAAGTTGTTGCGATGGATATTACAATATCGGTTCATTTGGTATCATGAAGAAAAATTAAGACAGAAGAAACAAAACCTGGGCTCCACTGCCTTCTCATTTCATCTCATCCATTGACAACACCATTGATGCATGTTAGCTAGCTGCTTGGTATATGCTTCTGAACGCGTATATTAACATGCATCCGTCACATGCACCGTGTCTACCAGGGCAAACCATAAAAGCAAAATGCACAAATATGTTCAAAAGGAAAATTCTTAAAGGAATTGAAATATTGCAGATTGAGTTTCAGTGTTGCTCCTTTAGCTTAAATGGGACAAAAAAAAAAATGCATGCAATCGGTCTGGAAGTGAGAAAAGCCGCCCTCAAGAATTTTGATAAGAATTTATTAACATTTAAATCCTAAAATTTATTGTATATTAATAAGGTTTGAATTGTCTGAATTCTGAATCTACTTTAACTTATTTAAAATGCAAATAGATGTTGAAGAAAAAGTGCAAACCTCTAAAATCAGCATTTAATTCAGAAAGCAAGTTGTCCTCCTTTTCTTTTCAGTTGCCGGGCCCTTTCCAATGTGGCTAAAACGATCCTTAATGTTATATAAATCCATAAAGTAATTTATAAAGAGCTAACACTGTTGGTTTTTAAATGGCATTAATGTTATTATCCGAAAATCAAGGGGCATATAACCTTTACAAGTTCTATATAAATCAAGCATAGAATTCAACATTTGTTAACATTTCCTCTCATCCAACAAAGCTCATACTCAAAGTCTCCATACAAAAATTTTCCGATGGCTGATATCGATATCTTCTCAGTCACTACTCTCCAAGAAATACTTTGCCGTCCCAAGGCTGAGACTCCAGTAGTCACTCCACATCTGACTCCCTTCTCTGCCGTGGTGCCGGCTCGTTTCATTGGCATGCCTAGGCTCAACATCCAGATAAAACTGGAAACCATTCATGAAGAAGAAAATGAAGAGGAAATTAGCATGGAAGTGGCCCAAAGTTCATCATCGACAGCTTCTTTTTCCACTTGTTTTTTAGAAGTGAAGAAGCCCTTGCCGTCATTTAGTCATAATTGCAAGTGCGCTTAGGGATGTTCATAGCTTGAACTTACACCTGATGCAATCCATGAATGTTTTTTTTTGTCAATCTCAAATCAAGGTTTTTGTTGGGTAGAAATTTTTGTAATACTACCTGGCAGGAATTAGGTGACTTGCTTTTAGTTAACAAACATTATCAGTTGTTGGCTAGCTGTTTCTATGCTTGTGGGAAACCAAGTATTATCAAGTAAACAATGTACTGTAAATGATCTCTTCTTGTTCTTTAAAACTTTTGTTATCTATCAGCAATAACATCTAATCTTCTTCGACGACTGTGGTCATTAATTCTTAACTAAATATTAAATAATGAATATCTGATCTCAATCCTGTTGTATTTCCTGCACCATCAGGAGAAGGTTGCTTTTTTTTTTTTTTTTATAAATTAAGGGACTAGAGGTTTTTAAGTTTTGTTTAATATATTTCTTTCCAAGGTGGTGTAAGTTTATTTACATCTACCTAACGAATTCATAGAAAATTACTTTCTCATGATTTGAATCCAAACAACAAAAAGAGGAATAGACTTCTGTCACTTGAGCCAACATCCAGTGTTGAATTTTTTTTTTTCGCCGTAAGGGAACCCTTCAAAACTTGTCCTTTTTTTGTGAAGTAGGGTGTTGTTGAGAGCAAAAATCTTTTAAATCATGAGTTCTGTTTAAGTATGTAGGAGCACTCAGCAGCTTCTTGTCTGTAACATCTTTAACTAATGCAAGAAGGAAGTAAATTATGGAATATGATATCATGTTTGCAGTAGGCCATGATTCATAAAGTTTGGCAAAGTAAATTTATTACGGCCATTGGAGCTCAGATAGCTGATGATGCAGTCAAGATAAAGCTTGACTGTCTAGCTAGCTGGTATTGCAGATAAACCAGTCAACAGAACACTTTGCCAGCAGTGGGGACCGAATGAAGTGATTTTATCTAATTGATTGTGACAACATTATCCTCCAAAAAAGATTGTAAAAGCATTAGATTGACTGTCAGCATTTGTTCATTATGTTTTACTTAGTTTTAGTTACCATTTTGCTGATAGATTTTCCAGATTTGTATGGATATATGGAAATTTCAATTAACCAAAAAAAGCCATGATTAAATGATGAACTCCGAGCTCACAAATGTAGTAACTGAGCATGAAGTCAAAGGCCTACAGTTTAAAGGGCTAAGTTACGTCAAACTCAAAAATGGGTTATGTTGACCTTTTAAAAACATTGAGGAATGCTGGACTTGGCATTTTTGTATTGTTTATGTATTGATGTTTGAACAGGTTCTATTGTTTTACTTAAGCAGTAAATCTTGACTAACCAATATTGTTTTAGAAAATAAAAGTACCCCGAGCCACTTGAGTCAGATTGCTTGTAATGGAAAATTGAATTCAGGAATGTGAATTTGTACCCTTTGAAGTCCATATTCTCAAAATTAGACTTAAAAACTCAAATCACTTAAACCGATGTGCTTTGAGTTTTGACAGATAATACAAAAAAAACAGTAGTTATTCATATTTTCTTGATAGCTCGTGCTCCATTTACACCTTTGCACTCCCCTGGCCCCAGCTTCAAAAAGAAAAGCCTCGTCAGACTAAAGCTAGGACTGATGCAACCAGATGTCTTCAACTATTTTCCCTGTATTACGGCATTTTGCTTTTCGTTTCTTTTGTGCACATTTGATTTACACGTTAGACATCACTTAACTCAAAAGTTTAAATTATTAGGTTTTTTATTCTTTTATGTAATAACTCATTCATATTTTCTAATTATGTGTGAGCCCAAAATTTTAATTATTAGGTTTTTATATTTTTCATGTATATATAAGATATTTTATTCATATTTTATAATGATGTGAGATTCTTTACTCATATGCATATTGGACACCAATTAAACCCAAAAACTCAATTAAGTTTTTGGATTCTGAATGTATGTATAAGATATTTCATTCACATTTCTTAATGATAATGATATGAGATTTTTTACTCATATGTAAATTATCACGATAATATTTCCTGTTCATATAATTTTGGCACACCAAAAAGCCTATACATGCATGTTTGATATCACTTGAGCCAAAAGTTTAAATTATTAGATTTTTAGATCCTTCGTATATATATAAGACATCTCATTTTATATTTACTAGTGATGTAAGATTT